AAGTATCAAGTTCAGCGTTGATGTTGAATGTCGTCGAACTCTAGGCAATTGATTTTGGGGAAGTGTGTGAGGCTACAAATCATTCCCCCCTTGTGGGTTCGTGAGGACCCTAAGACCATACCAGCCGGAAGTAAAAACCCAGTGGTTTCTCCACTGGTAAAACTCTTCCGACGGTCTCATCGCGTGAAGTGGTCCCTGGTTGTTTGAACCTATTCTAGGGTGTCGTGGCGAGTGAAAAATAAAATACAATAAGTCGAATTTTACTTCCGTCGCGGTCCTCAGTTCCTTTTGACCTTCCGCCCAGTGGTCGTTGCACCTGGAATATAAATGAGAGTCTTTAATACCTCGAAAACGTTTCGTAAAAATTGGAATTATTTGTATATAAATATACTGAAAATAAAAAGTACGCTCACTTTCATCCTTTTTTAAAAAAAGTTCCATTGCATGGTGATAAAAGTTAGCATAAAAAGGCAAAATGTACGAGAAGTTTCGCACAGCCGGTAAATAAGAAAAATAGTGCCTCGGAAAAAAATTTTTGAAGTAAGAAAATATGGTTGGCACATCTCACTCCACACCACTAAGCTGAATGCTACTTCAAATACTCCGGGAACCTAACGGTTCGACCTGATCAAGTTTTCTGCTGTGTTGATGGTTGCTGTACCTGTACATTACCAGGCACATCGTCAAGAATTTCAATAATTGAGCTATCCATCGGTCGGCTGTAGCGAGCTGAAACTTCACTTATAATGGGGTTGCCTTCGAAATAAGCTAGTTCGAAACGGTGGATACTGACAGTATCCTCAAGTCCGTCTCGCTCAATTATGTAGAATTTCTCGCGTCGCTTGATCACTTTGAATGGCTCATCGTGGGGTGGTTCAAGTGGTAGACGAACGGCGTCGTGGCGAATAAACACCTGTGATGTCTTCTGTAAACTGGGGTGAACGAAGACATTAGTCGTTTGAGGCCTAAATGAGCGCATTGCGTTTGTAAGCCTAGTCACGTAAGATACCCTGTGGGAAACATGTTTGAAAATTGAAGGGTAAACAAATCACCTGGTAGGCGAAGAGTGGTCCCATAGACAAGTTCTGCAGGGGTACATCCAGCATCAACTTTCAAGGCGTTACAAATACCTAGTGGGACTAGAAGCAGAGCCTCGGTACACTAAGGTATGTTTGCAGCTCAAAGGGAAGCTTTCAGCTGTCGATGGAAACGCTCTACCATGCCATTTGCTTGTGGATGGTAGGTTGTCGTTCGGAACCGGGTGCAACCTACAAGTGTAGTTAGAGCGTGAAATAATCCACACTCGAATTGGTGCTCACGGTCGGGTGCGACGTGAGATGGACATCCGAAGTTCGCGATCCATCTTTCGACGAAAACATGAGCCACTGTTTCAGCAGTAATATCCTTAATAGGTACTGCTTCCGGCCATCGTGTGAAACGATCAACGCAATTGAAAAGGTAGGTACATCCATTAGATTCTGGTAGGGGTCCTACAATATCTACATGGACGTGGTCGAAACGCATGTCTGGGGCTAGAAATGAGCCTAAAGGGCTTTCCGTGTGTGGCGTGACTTTACACTTTTGATGAGCTAAGCACGACTGAGCCCACTCCTTAACGTCTTTGTTCATCCCAGGCCAGCAGAAACGTTGTGCAATAAGCCTTATGGTGGCTCGTACACCTGGATGAGAGAGTTTGTGCAGCATATTGAAGACGTTGCGTCGACAACTCTTCGGAACTATTGGGCGTGGTTGACTAGCAGAGACATCGCACAAAATTGTATCCTTGTCTGATCCAACTGGAAAAAGCTGCAGCTTGAGAGTTGTGGACGACAACTCATGATGCAGCTCAAGGTCTTCCTTTTGACGCCGAGCTAGTTCAACGAGATCAACGCCCTCGATATGATTTATCGAAGCTATTCGTGATAGTGCATCGGCTACGGAGTTATTTGCTCCAGAAATGTGGCGGATGTCTGACGTGAACTGGGAAATGTAATCCAGCTGTCGCGACTCACGCGTGGAGTATTTGTCAGACGCCGAGCTGAGGGAAAAGGTTAACGGTGTGTGGTCTGTGAAAATAATGAAATCACGACCTTCCACAGAATGTCGAAAATGGCGTACAGAACAGTACATAGCTAGGAGTTCCCTACCAAATGTACTGTATCTTGTTTCCACGTCTTGCAGCCGCCTCGAGAAAAGGGCTAACGGTTGCCACTGGTTGTCAGTCAATTGTTGCAAAACTGCTCCAATTGCTGAATCAGATATGTCAACAGCAATACTCAGAGGAGCATTTGGGTCATGATGCATGAGCATGGTTGCTTCCGAAACGGCTTCCTTGACTTTAGAGCAAGCAATTCTAGCCACGTTTTCCAGGGACACGAACTTCGTAGTCCCTCAAAGTAGATCTGTTAGCTGTCTAATGACAGAGGCGCAGTTGGGGATGAACCTTCGGTAATAACTTACCAGGCCATTGAAAGTGCTGAGATGTTTCACAGTGGACGGCCCTGGATAGTTTTTGATAGCCACCACTTTATCTCTCAATGGGCGTATACCTTCGTTGTCAATGGTATTTCCAAGGAAGCTGAGAGATTCAACTCCTATTTCACACTTCTGTAACTTTACTGTGATGCCATGTTTTTTAGTCTTTCGAATGCGAGGTCCAAATGTTTAAGGTGAGTTTCCTCATCTGGACTCGCAGTTAGACAGTCATCGGTGTAGACATGAACAAAATTCAAACCACGGAAGACATCATCCATAAGGCGTTGGAATGTTTGTGCTGCATTCCGAGGACCAAATGCGTGCGCAGGAATTCAAACAGGCCAAAAGGGATAATAACGGCTGTTTTCGAGATATCTTCTGCTGCCATAGGTTTCTGATTGTACGCTTTGACTAAATTGATTTTGGAGAAAATGTTCATTACGCATAAGGTTGCAGTCAAATCGTAAGCGTGAGGTATCAGGTAGCAGTCCGGAGTTGTTTTGGCGTTAAGCCTTCGGCAATCACCGGTTGGACACCAGTCGTTGCTATCCTTTTTGGGAACCGTGTGCAATGGCGATGCCAAAGGACTGTTTGACGGTCTGATAATGCGCAGTTCGAACATGCGGTTGAATTCGCTTTTCACCGTTTTTTAGCTTATCAGGGGGTAGATGGCTTGCTTTAGATGCCACAGGTGGACCTGTGGTTGTGACGCGATACATAACGTTGCTGGTTATGCCCGAAAGAGTATGCTTCGGTTGTTGCAACTCTGGATATTTCTTTGCTGTGAAGACATGAAGGCGTGGCCGTTTCCCGAGCTTGTGTCCTTGTTAAAACTGCAAGGTTTCCGACATTTTCTGGCTTCGTCCCCGTAAGTATTATGAATCCGGCACCATCTAGGGTTTCCACCCTGTTAGGTTTAGTTTTGGGACAATCACACGAGTTGCTGTGATGCGCTAAAACGCGTTTCTATGGAGTGCTATGTGAACTAAGACTTCGAGGTCGTAGCAACTGTTTAACGGAGTTGTACAGCTTGCTCAACTCTGAATCCTGGCTCTCTGGTTTGTCGTAGACAGAATATACGAAATCTCCAGTGTTTCATCTGCTGAGGCTGCCAGGTCATCGAGTGGGACTGACTGCAGTGTCACCAACACGGTTTGCACCGGTTGTGGTGGTTTTGAGAGCAATAGTTCTCGGAAAAGGCCACTGTCAAATGTTCGTGTGCGACTACTTCTCGCGTGCGCGCGAGGACTTCAGTGGCCGAATGGCTGCCTAACTCGATGTTATGAAGTAACTCGTCTAGGCGCTGGCGATCAGTGAGATCGCTTTTCTCAAGAGTGTGGCTTTGAGAAGTGCATAAGGATCACTTACTTCAGGACTTAACATGTGTGCTATAACATGTCTGTTCAATTCCCGCGGTAGTAAATGTATGACGCTAGAGAGTGAGAATGAGGATCTGAGACTCTCCGTTCCCGAAAATCTGCCTCGGCATACAGAGAACATGTTTCCTCATTGTCTGGCTAATATGCACGAGTTGGATCGTTTTGGTAGTCGGCCTAGTACGAATAAGCTTGAGAGTTTGTTCAAACATGAGAAAGTGTAGTAAAGTATATAAATGTTATCGAAATGAAAACGATGTACAAATATAAAATTGAACACGCTCACCAATTCGGTGTTTGTTATTGGTCGGGATATGTGATCACGTCAAGCTCACCAATTTAGGATTTGTCCTAATGCGAAGTTGGCAAACGCAAAGATCAATCACTAATTATTAGGACTTGTTATATACCCAAGGATACGAGATCAAGGAAGAACACGATAGCGTAGTCGGATGGGATAGTATATTTGGGTGTTGTGCCAAGATACCGATGCGTTTCAACTAACTGGCTAGAGAGTCGATTACGGGCAGTGCAACGTAACACGACAGCGTGCCAAATGGCCAGGATGCTTGACCGGGCGCCTTCAGCTTAGCGAGTCCGGTTAAAGTATCAAGGTCAGCGTTGATGTTGAATGTCGTCGAACTCTAGGCAATTGATTTTGGGAAGTGTGTGACGCTACAGGCACAACCTCAGGTACGTCTGAGGTAAGGGAATAAATGGAAGATTAGAGACCCCCTGACTGAAAGGTTACTCCGACCTTACCTAGAGGGGCCCAGACGGTATCCACTTTTATGACCTATAGGACGACTAGCTTGCAATACGAAGAATGCTTTCTCGGTATCCGGTCGGTTGAGGAGACTTCAAGAAATTTGTTCAGAACCAATCTACCAAAGAAGCATAGGGATTTGGCAAGAAATTGTAGTAAACTCATAGCTTTCTATCCTCAAACTACAAATTTGAATCTGAAACTGTGCTACTGGGGTCGGATGTTGTTAGTGTTGTTACCAGAGGCCTATCACCATTCTTCAAGACCTGGAAGTCAACTAAAAAATATTTGACGGTGCAATTAAGCTCCTGTAATAAGTATTTTATCTATACACATTTGTATTGTAAACTCGTTTTTCTTTGTCGTTTCGCGCGATATTAAGTAATGAAAATGTTGGTCCATTTAAATTCTGAGTTTGTTGAGTAGGTTCGTATAGTTACTGTCACCGATTGCGTCTTGTTAATTGCCTCTTTTATCTTTGTATTTAAAAAGCATTTGTTGAGTGCGTATTTCATAACCTTTTTCATTGTTAAACGTTTCAGTAGTGTTACAACACAGATAGTGTGGTCGCTAGTCGCATAATTAGTGTTTAAAGTCATTTAAATTGTAGGGATAGAGTTTCTAGATATTCTTTCAACGAAACGGTAAGTGGCAACTTTGGGACTCTCCCACCTCTTTGGTTTGTTATCCCTACTTTTCACCATAACCTAACAGGCTTTTTCCTGAGTTTTGAACTGAGTGTTATCAATCACATAGACCTTAAACATAGTCTCTGCACTAGTTGTTTTTCTCTCAAGTGGGAAGATCAATATTTTGATCGTAGTATTCATTGGAAGTAAGTGAAAACCAAATTTTTAGTTCTCAATGCTAATGAACAGCTTTACTTATGCGGTTTCCAATCTGATGAGTCTAGCATCTGATTTCCCATAGTCCTAGGTAATCGATTATCGACTCATAAAATGGGATTTTGCTTTTATCAATACGCGTGTATTGTGTTGAATAGGATTTGTTAGAATTCGATTCTTCTATTACACTTCTGATGACTGTGAGCTAAATTCTTATAGTTTTTCCTACCTTATAATTATGCATTGTAAACTTACTGCTTGTCTTAGTGGAAATACAAGTCGTCCTATTCAGCATTCTACTCATTGGCTGGAGGTTATGTGATATTCTAAACTGATTGCAGCAGTGAAGATCCATCCACACTTTATCTTCAGCCTCACCATTTTGTCACATTTAGCTACTTAGTTAAGAGCCTCTTTTTTGTCTAGACTTCTTATGGTTTGTGTTTTTCTGTTTCCACTTGTTCTTATTGTGTGTTGTACTGTATTTTAACATGCTCATATCAAACATGGCAACTTAGACTGTTGAGCAATTTTGCAGTCCCTGTGCCAATATTGACTGAGTGGTTTATTCACAGTCGAATGACAAACTAAGTTTTCAGCCTGACTGAATGGTAATTATCGGTTTTGTTGACGATGTTTGGACAATGTAGTAGGCACGTAGTTTCACGTGAACGTCTATGCTTTACGTTTCTGGGTAAAATATACATAAAGAAAATAAGAATTCATTATATCATGAGCTTAATAGATTTTACAAGTGCAATGATGTTTGGAATAAGAATTTTGGTTGCGTTAATATATCATTGTCAGCAAGACAGATATTTTTCTTAGTTATCAGTAGGGAAAAACAGTAATAGTAGAGAAGTTGGGATGCAAGATTAGGCAGGGTTACTCACCATCGAGGTAGTGATGTTCGTTTGAGCAGTTATATCAATGCAGAATAATTTCGAACAAGAGGTATATGAAAAAGGTGTTAAGTATTCAACCCAGTGTGCAATGTGTTAGTCTACTTGTATCTGTCAATAATACGCACTATGGCAACTAGCCATTCCAAAACTCAGTCGTACTCATCAGTCAATCAAATAGTACGTAAATTTTCCACATTTCATTTATTGTGTTTTATTATTTGTGTAACTGCGTGTGGTCGGAGATTATGTAAGATGGAAAAATGATGATTTATCCTGTTGCAGCACCAAAGCTTTGACAAACTATTAGAAAACTGTATGAGATGAAAATTACTTCAGCCAGTCAGGAACTCACCCTGCTCAATGGGAATAAGTCGTCTTTTTAGGTAGCGGATGCAACTTAATGGTTAAAGGAGTTGTGTTTAATTACGATGGCTTGAAATTTACTTCATATTGTATTTTTCAGTTTTGTAAACTTTCTGCTTACCCATCATGGTTTTGTAAAAATATTATCTAGTTAATTACTAAGATCTTACTAATTAAAGAGTAGAAGTAAGTGTTATTTAATTAGGTGAGTGGAAATGTTTCACTAACATTGAGACTCATGAGTTGACAGTTTTCTGATTCATCCAAGCACTAGTTTCCAAAGCTTTGATACTCGAAGGTATATTTAGCAACCGGTGAAAAGTTCATGAGATGGAGTCTATTTATCAAACACAACGTATCCTCGTATATATACTACTCATTCGCTTGAAATACAACCAAGCAGTCGTCATGATAGTGTACTAGGCTGTGAGTCACACCTACTTTTGTGACTAAGATGCAGCCTAAATTACATATGAAGAGCACACAAACGCTTTCATTGGTAACTAGGGCAAAATGTTTCAGAGGTATGTTGTATTTCTCTAAATGATTCAGTGAATGCAACCCACCTGATACTCATAAATTCGCATATTGGTCACCAATCTTTGCTTATTTTTGTTAACTATTGACTACTTGCAGCTAATGAGATCAGAGTCACCATATTGTCTACAAAATATTCGTGTTGAGAGAATAACCAACTGTCAGTCTTAGTATGCTTTAACAGTGATATAATTATAGAACGCAGTTGCTGAATGTTGATGTCATAGGTTTTCGATATTTGTAGGATTACTCGCATGTAGTAGATAATAGAGCGGTGTTGGATTCATAAAAATTGCTAAACAAGAACGGCAATTCAGTGATGTATAAACCTTTGTTAACTTATGTGGTTAATATATGTAGCCAACGTAATCACTTTCCAGTACAGGAACTCGCATATGGTTGCTGAGTTATAGCGCTCACAACGTTAAGAATACTAAGCGTCTGTATTCTTTAACTTAAGGAGTAATGTTAAGTAGGAGAAGAGCTAAGGGTGACTACTTCAGGACATAATATGAAGTCACCTATTTCTAATTTAAGTTGTGTAAGAGTTTGTAGACTGTTTGACTTGTATCCTAAAAGTGTTAAAAATCAGTAGTTGAAAACTTTTCAAATGATTGAAGTCGGTAATAGTGATTCAAGTGACTATTCTTCATATTTCCAGTACTGAACATTCTCTAAATTTTCATTTATTCCTTTATCTTCCTTACTCTTCTCACTGACATCCATTTCCTGTTCTTATGAAATCCTGTGAAATTCTAGGTTTCCTTTTGTTTTGCCTATTTATTTTGGGTACGCATCTCAGCAGAACATTAAGTTTAATAGTATTGTTGTCCAACTTTTACCACTTCTCTAATTAACATAAGTTATCAACAATTACCACTCTTTGTAATAAGCTATGCTTATAGAATCGAAACAGCTTAGTGCTTCTTTCTTTCGGAAAACTTTTTCAAGTATAATTTTTGATGTTCTCTTCAGCCAACTGGTGATAATATAACATTTACTTTAATTGTGAAGTTGAACTTAAGAGTGAACATGTATCCACTTACTGCGTTGATTTTAATTTCATAGTCAGTTTAACATTCGGATTGCAAATTAAGGTGTTTCACTAAATAGTCTCGTTTAAAACAGGCTTAAATGGTTATCGTTTCGGCATTTTGCAGTATATTTTTTAGGTTTTTCACAATCACTTTTTGTAGACACATGAAATTTTGCTGTTATTAGTTCGAAAAACATTTATGTAGGATAAACTAATGTACACTAACGCATACATCTTAAAATATTTGCCCACCTTATCAGCATGCAAACTGCAATGGATATTCTTTTGTATTCGCTCTTACAAAATGCTTTGATTTGAATACTTGACGTTTTTTTCTACTTTGGGCTGTTGAGGTGCTCAGGAATAGTGTTTCGAAACTCTTTTATACGGCCATGAGACATGACTGTTAAGAGTAGAAGATATGAAGCGATTACTGAGTTTTGATCACAAGTTTTTTCGTAGCTTTGTTTACGTTAGGTCGGACCACCTTGTAAGCAATGTTGACATCAAGTGAAGGGTACTAGTCAAGACAGACAAGTCGATTGATGAGGTTGTTAACCTTAGTCGACCAAGATGGCTTGGTCATGTATGAAGCGCATGCCGAACTCACTGCTTAACTCGACTTGCCATGCTAGGTGAAGTTGGATTCGTTTTGAAGTGTTCAGGGTAACCAGATGAAGACGTGGCAGCAATCGATGAAATCTCTGACTATTGTTCTGAACCGTGTGGGAATGTGGTGACTACCTACCTGGTTTCGGTTACTGAGACGATAGGATTCAAGCAGTTGAGAGGTGTTTTGGTGACATTATTTAAAATCGGTAACAGTGTGTCAGATATCTTTTAAAGCTTGAATATTCGTAGTATCTGTTATCTTCGATTTGTTTATTCTTTCATGTCATTCTTTTTGTGTGTACTTATTCTTTATGTACTACTTCAGTGAATTGTGGTGATTTGTGGTGATGGATTTGTGTGCGAGGTTCTACGTTGATTCTGTTTGTTTGTCTGTCATAGTTGGTTTTTCATTCAATTCAATTTATTTTAGTACAAGGTGATATGGTTTAACATCAATTCCTCATGATGAACTTCGCACTTGCAAACTTTAGCACTGTTTATAAGTTTATCATAATCTATTTTTATGTATGGTTACTTTTTGAAGTATTATGTAGTCAGTTTACGTCTTGCTTGATTTTCATTAGTATCCCGAATATTATCATCAGGTGCCTTCAATCTTATGATGCATATTTGTGAATGAATAAACATTAGTGTGGATTGATTTCAGAATATTTTTGTTTAGCTGATTGGTTCATTCAATACTAACTGTTATTGATGTTGCATTCACCTTACGTATTTACTTTATCGGATATTGTGGACGGATCAGCTCCTGATTATTGTTATTGAAATCTTGTGTCGTATAAAATCATATTTTTTAAAGTTATTAATTAATTAATTAATTATTAATTAGCGCTACCTTGTGCAAATCCGTGTAGTGAGTAATCAACCAAACTTAATTATGTAAACTCTGGTGATACTATCTGGGTGCACAGACCTTGGTAAGTGGGATGGGACTTGAACCCCTGATTGAATGGTAAACAAAAAAGCGAGTTTCGATCAATGCCTCTAGTAGCTTTCCTCATTTTTTGTTGTTATTCTGATACATTATATTCGATCCGTAAATATAATGACAAGATTATTTCCGTTTATCTATTGTAGGTAGACTCAACTATAATTTTGTAACAATCAAGTACAAATGCGATACTCTGAAGTTAAAAGCATAGCTTCCTGTTGGATAATCACTTCAAGTCTGATATTTCTGCTATTGTTGAGTATTCTTCACTGGTACACAGACTCAGAATCCAATAGGTGTATTCTTACACGCATGATGGACATCCCAATGTTTGAAGTAGGCCAGCATATCTCATTGCTTTATTCGTCTTTTTTTCATCATAGAAAATCCATGTTGATTGTCAACATAAATGCTATATAGACTATGGATTGTATCGATATCAAGAAGGGTATGTTTGTTTTTATTAGTTTATTGATTTCTTTCAGTTCTAGATTTAGGTAATTCATCAAGTTTAATACTATTTATCCTCTAGATTTAGACCATACAATATGCCAGTTTTGTTTGTTACAGGCAGTCAAGGGAGTTTTAGAACTGTTCGTTCATTGGCATCAACTATGCTTAGTTTTGTACGCGATAATTCGCCTTTTGACTACTATACTGTCGATTTAAATGAGGTAAGGAAGTAGACAATCTTAATATATATGTGTATAATATATAAACACAACGAAAATTGAGTACAAATGATACATTTCTCAACTTTTCTCTCGAAAATTGGTTATATAAAGATTTTACATCATAATTAGACCATAGTCACCTTTTTCTTGTTCAGAGTCTTTTATCATGTCTTGCAAATGCTCTATAGTGTTAAGATTGGTAGATATAAATTGATCTTTTGTTTTTTATCCTGCTGTTATTTCATTGGCCACCATCCAAATGAAGTTTATACAACCTTCTAAGTAGGTTATTTGGTCATCATATTTAATCACTCCATTTACTTCTGGTAAACCAGGTATTTATACATACCGGTAGTATAGCGTTAGTCGGAAATCGCGTGCTCAGAACCTTTACATTTTTTTCTGCTATATATATACGTCAGACTATATCATTATCCACTTTTTCACCCAATGGAAATATACTGTCTGAATCCTCCGGTAGTCAGTCGATCAACAATGTATATGAAAATAATTTTCATGAATGATCAGTCTAGTTTTTCGTTTTACCCTTATACTATAATGAACCGAATAAAGTAAAGTATGAATCTCTGACCGACTTTATCGATTGTATTATTTATCATTAAAGAAATTCTACTTGACGCTTATTCTATGGGATTTATTGTTTAGGTTAGCTCGATAGCTTTTTATTAACCTCTCACTCATTCTATACTAAACATATTTCTGAAATAATTTTAAGTTAGGTGAAATTGAATATTGTACAATAATTTTATCTATGTACGAATCACTTCGTGTGTTGTGGAGGCATCATTTTAAATGTCACCCCAACAAAGACTAAAGCACCCAACTAGGTTGCTTTTATGCTATTCAAAAGGTGGTTTTCTCATACAATGAAGAAACTTAATTGGTTATCTCAGTAGTTGTTAATGTGAGCTTCAGAGTTAATCGTTGTGGACACATAGTCTTATTGCGTGTACTTACGAGTCAGATAGTATAGAATGAAACGTTAGTTTTTATCTCCTATTTTACAATGGGAGGAAGTGAGAAAAGACTTCTGGTTGCAGGTTTACATATTTTAAGCTACTCTAAAGGGGCCATTAGAGTAACCACTGAAGTAATCAATTAAGTGTCTGTATTTCATTTGAAAACTACGTGTACAGATTAAATTGGTTATTTTAGGGGTTACTAGGGTAGCCTTATGAGTCACTGCAAAAGTTTCTGTCTCGCATTCAGCTGACTCATGAGCGTAGGTAAGTAAAGTGTAGGCAAGCACAATGATGTTCAAATAATGAAGCGTCTAAAAAGTCAAAATCGCCTGATAGTCCCGTAGTTATATACTTGACAGACATCAGTTGAAATGTACGATACTAAAGCATATCAATCCATCTGTTAATCTGAGTATTGTTAAACTGAATTTCTTTTTTTTTTTTGACCAGGAAGTATCTGCTGTAAGTGGTGAAATTATTGAACGTCAAACTGGTAAAGTCAAATCATGAAATTTTACATAATATATTTCAGAGTTTGTTGACAAAGCTATTGACACTATTCTGCGAATGTATACCAAACGACCGAATTCCTCTAAACATGTGGTCTTAATTGGTCACTCTGTTGTAAGTGCAGTTGAATTCATGGTATTGCCTCATAAAAACATTTTTTTGCAGCGAATGTGGTCACTATTTAAATTGAATGAATATTTCAATATTTAAGGACTTCGCTGGTATCGACGACTCTATAAATTACTAATGTTCAGCAACATGTTTTGAAGGGCTCCCTTACAAAGTCCAATATAGTCAGCTTCACATGAGCATGTGAATTTGAAATAATGGAGTATATTTGTAGCTCAGGTGGATGGTCTTGGTTGTATTGTGTTCTCTGAGCTGAGTTGTTCAATCGTGAAGCTTTCATTGTCTTTCTAGACGACATCATCAGTACTAACTTCAGTATTAAGTGAGCTGTCACTATCTCTCCGTGAGTGATTTAGTGGCTTACTCTGACGAAGTGGTCTGTGATTGGTTGTTTCCTTCGATTGTTGTGTCATTGATTGTATACAGGAAAGTCTATACAATCAGTGACTCAACAATCGAAGGAAACAGCCAATCACAGACCACTTCGTCAGAGCAAGCCACTAAATCATTGGTGGAGAGATATTGACAGCTCACTTTATACTGAAGTTAGTGCTGATGATGTCGTCTAGAAAGACAATGAAAGCTTCACGATTAAACAACTCAGCTCAGAGAACACAATACAACCAAGAGCATGTGAATTTGTTGAAATCCTTCTGTTATCTGTGTGATTAAATTGATTCTAATAATATTAACATTGTATTACCTACGAACTACCTAAAAGAACTGATATTAAGATGTACGTTTAATGTACAGTTCAGATTTAATGATGTGATGTATAATCAGACGGACGGAGTCGCATAGGATTTCCACTAGGCTGATGTCTTTATGGCAAAGTTCAGAAACTGACCACTTAAAGAAATAATCTCGGAAGTTTATTTGTATAAAAGATACATTGACAACGTTTCTTATTTACGACGAAACATGTTCAGTAGACCAGCTGCTAAGACGTTTCAATGATTTTCACCCATCTATTAAATCCACTGTAGTGGAAGAGTTAAATTCAACGTTCCATTTTCTTGATGTAATGTTGAAGGGAAGGGATTATGGCATGATTCAAAAGTCAGTCTATCGAAAACCATCCTGGACCAGCCAGTTCACTAACTTTAATAGTTGGGTACCTCTTAGTTGTAAAAGAAATCTCATTCACTCACTGTGTTCCAGAATGTAAAAAATCTGCTCAGGGAACATGGTGGATTTTGATGTCGAAGAATTATCGAATAACGGATACCCTAAAAGATTTATTGATGGGAACCTAAAGAAACGAATCACTCCTAATCAAATTACAGTTCCTATGAAAATCCTAATCATGAATCTGGAATTCAAAGAAGACACCACTGCCGAAGTGCTGAAAAACCGTCTGTCAAGATGGTTTATCAATAGTAGCTTTTACACTGATAGACTGAGATTGGTGTTCTCCAGCTGCCGTTTGATTGGATAATGTGTGAAGGATAGGCTACCACTTATATCCACTTCTATGTATGTCTACAAATTCACATGCTTCTGTGGAGCTGACTATATTGAACATTGTAAGCAGACCCTCTGAAAACGTTTGCTGAACATTACTCGGTTTGGCTTACCAAAGGCGAGCAAAAGAAAACGAATTACTAATTTCTTGTAGAGTCCTGTTCGAGTACCTATAGAATTTGATTGTTATTCGACCGAGTATTATTCTGAATTGTTATTTAAGAAAAATATTTATCTTTGTTTGCTTTTAATACACCAGTTATCCAAATAACAAAGAGTAATCGATTTTGAGTGATAACTTTGCTCTCAACTAGATGATGGCTAGGTATGCTCAGTACCATATCTCAACTGCTTTACTCAGTACAAACTGACAATCTGACCGAGGAACTAACTTTTCTCTTCTATTTTAAATTTCATCATTGCTCACTTTTTGTTTCTACCAAATTTGAACAATAAGACTTTATTCTTTACTTAAATGATTATATACTTGTTTCATAGCATCCAATGAGTCGATTTTAGTTGAGGGAATTATTCCCTAAGTTGTACAGCTGTATATAAATATCAGTCCGGTAATATGAAGCTGTGAAAACTCTGAAGCACTGATTAGTTAATTCGTTCAGAAGCTAAGGCCTGGGGTTCAGCCAAGTCGGGTGTCAGGTAGAATATTAACCGATAACACTGAATGATAGTTATTATCCATCGATCCATCCTGTGATCATGGGTGCACATTGCTTAAGGGTTCCAAACTAGGAAGAAGCAGCTGTCCGTTTCTCCCAGATTTTCGATGGTTCTTCAACTTATATCAATTCTTGGTGAAAATCACTTTCGAATTAGTCAATCCACCAAAACTACCAGTTAAAATTGATTTCATAGTCCATTTATAGGCTAAAATAATATTAAGCCGGGGAGTCTGTGAAGCTGTTGGACAAATTGCTTTGCTATAAAACAAACTTTATGCCAGACCTATCGTTGTCTCACTAGAATTTTCAGCCAATGAGTCAGAACCGAGAGTAATACTTTTATTTCACTCAAACGATTTGTTCACATAAATCGTATAGTCTTTACTTAAAACTTTAGAACCAATATGATTAGATACAGCACTGATGTCTAATAAATTGTATTTAGTTTATTGATTGGGTACAACTCACAGCTTTGAGTAATAAATAAGAGAAATTTGAATAAGTTTGTCATGAAAGTAGTTTATATTAGACGGAGTTCAGTTGTCGAAATCATGATCTTAGTGACAAAGTTGAGTCAATCAACTCTTTCTCTTGCCTTGCATTCCTTGCTTCAAATTATAGATTACTAAGGTTTCGGTTGTATATAGATGTAGGCGGAAATCTTTATGAAGATTTAGTTGGGAATATCAAACAAATAGTTTGAGGCAAAATACCCTTAATCTGTTGTGTATTACATAATGGTTAATCTGAGAGATTGTACTAGAAAGTGCTGTCAGTACGACTATTGACAGACGTCGAGGAATGAGCTGCATAGCTTGCTGTATACGAGTAAACGAACTAGTTAGACATTCTCTGACCAGAAGAGCAAAAATTAGCGACTGTAGTGGTTTGAATTGATTTACTTCATAAAATTTCTTTCAAATGAGTGTCTCCAGAGATCCTTTTAGAACATCATCGGCACCTCTTTTTAATCCTAAACCCAATAATATTGCCTTTTCTGGAGCTGTGTAACAGTATTTGCCACCCGCTTTTAGTTCACCTTCGAGTTGTTTTGAAGGATCAACACTAGGAATAAATGAAACTTTGTCTTCCTTTTATTGGAACTCGCTAGTTAGAAAAGGAGTACCTAAACCGATAAACCATTGGGAGATTTATATTTTTGCTTGTATTATCCCGTCGTTGATGGGACATATTCGACCGGTCTCTATCGGCATGTGGGCTCCTGTATGGATGCCTGGATAATGCCTAGGTTTCAGTTTCATGGTAATGATGGATGGGTAACGGCTAACAGTGGAATCCAGTTTGACTCACTTTTCGTTCTATTTAGCGCTTGTCAGCTGGATTTAACTGCCTCCTAGTGAACGATATTGTTCTCATTAGGACTCGAACGTGAAACCGATCGCTTTAAACGCCAGAGCGTTATCTACTAGGACACCGAACCAAATGCACGTCCTGGGTCCCACTGCTAACTACCATCTATCATTACCACTAGCGACTTCGTTACCTACCGGGAATCTTAATCGATATAAGACCCCAAAACCTGTGAATTCCAATTCTCAGATTAGCACTACTGTCCTCTAGAATTTACTGGCAGAGATAATTTCCCCCCCTATTTATGGATTACTCCATATTTTTGGAGTTCCCATCGGAATTCTTATCTGTGAATTACTATAAATGTAAACAGTCTTTGGCATTTCGATGTTATCGAAACGGTATCCAATTTTGTTCTTTGAACCGATCATTTCTGGCTGCTTTGGCTAATCGAGACAGGATTATAGGTAGAAGATTCCAAGTTATGGGTCTGGTTGTCTGTTGAGACTGAAGATGTTTGAGACTCGATCATGGATTAACTCTTGATTTCACCTCGATCAAATAGGTGATAGGTGAAACGTGATTGTCAATTCCTCATTTTCTGTCTCTTTGTTCATTTCGATGTTAACTAAAACGAGAAATGACCGAAATAATTATGAAGTTGAATGAACAGTCACCTGTCACTATATTTCACAGAATAGCTTGGTGGAACTTCTGGCAATTGAAGTTGTCAGCAATCAAGTTTCGTAGTTCAGTCAATAAGGCACCAGACTATTCACTGGAAGGTTAATAGTTTAAATGTTACTAATTACCAAGTTTACTTTCAAATCCATTCACCTCCAGCTGACTGTTAAGTTGGTAAACTTTCTAAAGTACATTCTACTACTCAATGAAGACTCGATTCATTTTTGAACTATGAACAGATATTTATCAATGATAGTAAAGGATGGTTTGACCAAAACGAATCGAAATGATTACACCTCAAACCAGTGGATAAACGATTCTGTATCCAAAGAAGTTGAAAGTCATAAACTAGCGTAAAGCTTTAAATTAGCTCAGAAATATTTCACTAGTTTCCAATTTATTCTTCTAATTGACGTGCGTTTTTACTAGTGAAGACGATACGCAATCAAATTAATGTTAAGAGTATACATACTTGATGGAAATGTCTTCAGTTAATAATCATTGACAATCTTTCTTGGTCTTCTCCAGGGGTCTGTCGTCATCTTCAATCTGTTATCATCACGTTGGAGTTTAAATCAGACTAAAGTGAAATTGGTGTTTTCCTTAGCTAGTCCTATTCGTCAACCAAGTAAGTGGAATATATTTGAAAATGTACATGGTATTTCTGTTTGCTACAACTGCTAAACATCATAAATGCGATTTGAAAATATGCTGGAAAGACTTCAGGACAAGTATATACTGCGCTGCAATTCGTTCTCTTTGGAGCATTGCTTGTGTTTGATGTACTCACTGTATGAGAAATGTTGGCGTCAAGTGAAGGGTACTAGTCAAGACAGACAAGTCGATTGATGAGGTTGTTAACCTTAGTCGACCAAGATGGCTTGGTCATGTATGAAGCGCATGCCGAACTCACTGCTTAACTCGACTTGCCATGCTAGGTGAAGTTGGATTAGTTTTGAAGTGTTCAGGGTAACCAGATGAAGACGTGGCAGCAATCGATGAAATCTCTGACTATTGTTCTGAACCGTGTGGGAATGTGGTGACTACCTACCTGGTTTCGGTTACTGAGACGATAGGATTCAAGCGTTGAGAGGTGTTTTGGTGACATTATTTAAAATCGGTAACAGTGTGTCAGATATCTTTTAAAGCTTGAATATTCGTAGTATCTGTTATCTTCGATTGTTTATTCTTTCATGTCATTCTTTTTGTGTGTACTTATTCTTTATGTACTACTTCAGTGAATTGTGGTGATGGATTTGTGTGCGAGGTTCTACGTTGATTCTGTCCTGACCGATAGCTGCTACCTTGACGTGATGATCGGGCTTGCATATCACAATGACCCAACGAGCTATGCTGGTGGAACGCTTGTTCCCTCGAGGTCCTACCATACCAGAAAGGTCTGCTGGATAGTGGTTGGACGAAAAGCAGTTACCGTTATAGTTTACCGTTACCGTTATAATGTAAATTGCTACACTATGATAGGGGTCTGAGGGCGAAGTCGTACTGCTGCTAGCTGGATGGGGTGTGACAGCAGTAAGGTGTTTCCCTTGGATGACCAGCAGTGCCATGCTGATGCTGCCTTCTCAGTGGAAGGGGGGGGGCTTAGAAAAGGTCGGCTCCAAAAATAACACACTCCACCATGCCCCACGGTCTGGCTGGCCGGCGGTGTTGGTTCACTTGTCGTTTCCTTTCAACCATCCGGCCCCAAAAATACAAAAGTTCAAAATAATCATACTCAGAAGGCTGGTTGTGACAGGCCTCAAGCAGATGTCCGATGGGCTCTGTGGTCACACAAATTTCTTTCAGGTACCTTAAGGAGAAATAGCCTTCCACGGTGTGGGCAGCCGGGAAGTGTCAACCGCCCTCACAACTCAACGTTGATTCTGTCTATCTGTATGTCTTACAATTTATTTTAAACATCGGAGCAAATTTTATGAGTGATTTACCTTAACTTTTCACCTTTTTCATAATAATCGCTCATGACAACATTTTTGTAAGTGGAAAAATCTTTTGTTGAAGATTATTTCAATTGTATTTAAAGTTTTAAAGTTTACTGCTAGCCACTGCCTATCATTACTAATAATGTATTTAAAGTTATTTATTTATAATGTAGAAGAATTTCATCACCATCATTATATGGACTGTTCTTTTGTCTCAAAATCATAGTAATACCAAACATGTTTTCTCAACACTAACTAATTGTTGCAAGCATTTGTAACCATTGCATCCTAGATACTGAAGAATGAACTTGAGTGTTATTTCTCAGCATCATTCCAACATTTAGGTAGTCACTTGACTAACTGGCTTTTGCATTTACGACTTATATTATTATTATTTGTCCCTTGAGTTCCTGGTAGGACATAGGGCTTCACTAGCACGTCGCCATTTCACTTTGTTCTCTTCACTCTTCTCTTTTAAACCTGGCTCCACAACTGCCCAGAAACTTTCGTTTCTTCCTCACATGATCTCCTCTATATCACCCTCGCCTCGGACACCCAACTCATCGTTTCCCTTTTCAGTTCCACTCGACGACCTGACCTGGTGTGTGGTGTCCCCAAACGGTCTTCTCAGTGTATGTACAATCCAATCGATCTCGACTTCCTTCTGCCGACTTGTTAGGCGATAGGTTGTTGGTTGGTTGGTTGGTTGGTTTATTGCCAGGCGAGAGCGAGTTCTTTGTTGCTTATTCTTATTATTATGGACATCTATCTGATTTTGAGTATGGAGTAAGCGTAGACAGCAGCTGTTGATGTATGTCTGTGGTTGGTTGGAAATGGTTTTCGTGACGCGCCAAGTCTGTGAAGCATATAGAAGTGAAGTAGTGACTTTACTGACTTGTTGTTGAAAATCCGTATGTTGTTGACGCTTTATGTTGAGTTGTGTGGAGTATGTCTGCTGACTGATTTCAGATTGATGCAGGAAGGTGTGTGTTGGTGTTTTTTGGATGGTGACTGGCTTAGACGTCGTCATGTGTTCCTGTTCTTGTGCTGCCTGTAGTTGGAAGGATGCTGCGTAGGTAGGTAGGTAGGCAGGTAGATAGGTAGGTACGTGGGTGGGTGGTTAGGTGAAAGAGATAACTTTGTTTAGGTTTCTCCCATTGATGTTGATTGGTGCTTTTTGTTCTCATTGTTTGTTGGGTATCTTGATCACCTGTGTAGTCTGTACGTTCACCTTAGGGAAGTCCTGTCTTCGTTGCTCCGCCTCTTCTGTCAACTTGTTATTTTTCGTCTGTAAATGTTCAAGCTTGTGCGACATTAGACATAAATCATCATGGACGAAATCCAAATGTTCTAGTTTGTTTTCATCAGTGCAGCCAGCTTCTTCACATCTCACTCCTCACAGTTTCTGCATCGTCCAGTCTAGTCGACCACAATCAGTAAGATGATCGTTGATAGTAGGCGGCAAGCTTTTCTTACTCTTTCCTGACTTCACTTCACTGAGTTTTCCATTATGAATCACTTGACGTGTGGCGTCGTCATATAGCTGCTGTTGAATAAGATTGGTAAAGGTTTGCGGCACTAAAACAGTAGTGCTGAAGCAGTTTCCAAATTACTTCTCGTTCGACGTTGTCGAACACTTTTTCAAAATCGACGAAGTTGACTCGTTCTATGCCCTGTTCTATGATGATGCGTAGCGAAGCGTCGCAATTTGGTCCCCACATGATTTGTTTTTCCTGAAGCTAACCAACTTGTTCCGGTAGTAATTTTGAATGCAGAGCATGTTTTAGTCTCTCCAGGATGATGCGGCCTAATATTTTGCTTGGGGTGGGCAGCGGAGGAGCACAATTCCGCACCAGTTATTGCAAAGACTTAGGTCGCCCTTGTTTGGGTATTTGACAAGATAGCCCTTCTTGCAATCAATGGGCAGGTACCTTTCCTTTCTTGCAAACCTTCTACAGTAGTGATGTGAGCATGTCTGCTGTTGTCTCTGCCTCTGTTTTCAGTGCTTCTGGTGGAATTCCATCTGATCCTACTGCTTTTCTGGATTTCAGTAGCTTTATGGCGTTCAAGACTTCACTTCGACTTTTGTCGGAGTGGTTGTGTTCACTGGTAATTCTATGGCTAGACTGCTGGTGATATTTCTGGACGAGTTGCAGGTGATGGTGGCGGTGGTTGATTCAAGAGTGTTGTGAAGCGGTCAACCCATTGTTTCCTTTGTTTCTCCTCTCTGGTGCTAACTAAGTTTCCTTCACTATCTTTAATTGGTTTCATCTGTGCTTTGTTGTTATCTTCTCAGATAGTAACCTGGTTATTTGATATAATGTTGTCCGGTATCTCCTACCATCAGCCTGTTCTGCTCCACTTGCCAGTGTGTCGTAGAAGTGTCTTTTGTCTTTCTATGCAGTGTTATTCACTTCTTTGTCCAGTGTAGTGTTTTATGGTTTGTGTTCAGTTAGTCTTTTCGTTGTTCATCCCTGCACTGCACTGTACTGGTTCATCTTCTGCTTCACCATCTTCCTCTCTCTCCTCCATCACCTTCCATGTGTCCGTCGAGATCCATTCTTTGTCTTGTTTCTTCTTCCCTCCTTACACGGTTATGCAGGTTTCCTTCCACATCTCTTTCGCAGTGTTCCAGTGTTCTTGCACACAGGTTTCTTCGGGGATGTTGCCTAATGTCTCCCATTTTTTCCTGATAGCTAGCTGACGTGAGGATGTCCTTTGTAGTTTGGATTTCAGTTTCTGTTCTGGGTGTTGAAATTGAACTGTAGTCTATCATCAACTTCTTTGAAGGCTTTCAACTTAATTTTGAAGGTTCCTTGCACTAGAAATTGAGTGGTCTGAACCTACGCCTTACTCATAGATTATACATTTAACGTGTTCAGTGGATATTTATTGCATTTCAGAAACTGATCCCACTGTAATTTATTCATATGTACAGATTAGGATGTGGATTTGGTCAAATATTTCCAAAGATGACAGTATTTTTGACTTATCAGACCTTGTATTGTATCTGTTATCTTGGCATGGAGCTGTGACTCATTGGTTTTAGGAATTGACTTTCAAGCAATAGGTCACTGATTCGATTCCCTCCTTGCCTACCGAGGTTTGGTCAGCCAGTTAGTATCACTAGCCGTCGCACAATAAATTTAGCTCATTAGCACTGCACTAATGTGCACAATGTTGCTAAGTGTATTTCGATCCTTATTTTGGCAGTATGTGCACTGAAATTCAATGTTTCTACCGTAAGATTTTGAGGTTTATGTGGATTCCAAGTTGTCATTTATCATGGAATGACATATGAGCTGGAGAACCCTTGAAGAGCTAGTGGTACTGGACAGCTGTTTTGTCCTAGTATGGGACTCCTCAGCAGTACGAACCCTCCCCCTCGAAGATCCTCCATAAACCTCCAAATGAACTGCTATGTAATTATCATCACCGACGTGCTTCGAAATGGAGATCCACAAATCCCAGTCAAACGCCTTTACCTTTGATTTCTACCAGTTGGATGGGAAGAAGACTTCTTGGCTTTTTTACAGACGATAGCTGAACACTAGCAGTCTCAAAATCTAGGTTTACCTATTCCCATCTATCATTTGTGTTGCTTCAACACTGAATTTATTTCATTTAGTTTAGTGACAAGGTATAACAAACTGATAGATGTTGCTGACTTAAGTTGTGAGCCATCAATTCACATATTCTATATTGTCTATCCTTTTTACCCTATTTTCACTTGATTCCATCTTATTCCAGCTATTAATTACATCTTGATAGAACCAAATTCTTTGTATTTGACGATCATTTTCTTTTCCACTATCTAGTTATTTTATCAGATCGTATCTTGGCACACATATATCAACGTATGCATAATTATCTAAATCGAATTTCAAAAATTCCTAATTATCCCTTGGTAATATTATCGATCACTGGAGGTTCTCGGGATAAACTAGTAAGTAATTTAGATTTCTCATTTTTGTTCTGTTTTATTATTACTGTTGTTATCCGATGTTGTATCTTATGGAAAGAGATGAAACTTAAAGTTAATAAAGTTATTATGTTAATCTAAGACTGATCTTCTACGGTGCCCTGTCTAACAACAGGAAGTGTCTAATAAACATCGAATGTAATGCACTGCTGTTCGTTCTCTTCTACTATGCGGTTGTGAAACATGGTAATTTAAGGTAGACAATATCAGAAGGTTTCAGGTGTTTAACCACCGTTATCTTGCTAACATCACGTGAGTAACGCAGAAGTCAGACGCAAAGAGGACTGGTAAGTCACTTGTGAACCTTCGTCAACTTAGGTGGTTGGGACATATGTTACACATGTCTAATCACCTTGTGTATTGTTGTATAATGTTAGCTGGAGTAGGTTAGGCGTGGCTAGACTAAAACATGTCTGTTGATCTGAGCTGTGCAGGACCATCTAGAATTTCCGGTTTGGGTCTGGATGATAACAAAAACAGTTGGATGGACACTCTGAGAATCAATCTCAGTGACCCAAGTGTATCCACATATTGTCGTCACCATAATAACCAGTATTCTCATATTCTTCCTTCCCCTCTTTTGATGACTTTCTTCCACTTTTGACTGCTTTCTCTTTTTAAACTCATAAATTAGCTAACTACTGTTCTGAACTGTGTACACACTTCTTGGCTAAATTTCTTGAGATGTTTTAAGTGCTAGTGGTTTGAAAAGATCTTTTATGATGTCGGTCACACTCAATAAAAGCACTGAGATACACGCACGTATAAACGTCCCATAAATCTCAATTTTACATTTTATATATATATATATATATATATATATATATATATATATATATTGCTGGCGTTTGGTGGAATCACCACGCGACCAATGTCCAAGTTAAGTATAGGGTATTAGGCAAAGAAGGCATGCCAGTCGATAAGAAGTTATGAAACTTCATCGGCTGAGGTTGTTTCGATGTGTGTTTCTCATACCGATGCATTGTCTACCCCTCTATATGCGGTGTTAGCCATAGGAGGATTGAGTTGTAAGAAGGCTAAGGGTGACTAGACCAGTGAAGTCTTTGGCTGTCGGTCTGAGTGATATAGGGAAGTGTAGACTGTGCGGCTGAAGTCACTGATGTGATGACAATCAACGGTTGGAAACTCGTGGTAATATGGTCGAGAACAGCTGACAACAGCACAGATGTATTCTATCTCTGATGTCTTTGAAATTTCGACTGTTTTGATTAACCTTTATGAAATTTTCCTCTAATCTCCTACCATGAACGTTTGTCGACGGTTTCACTATATTCACTTGGTCGTTGCACGAAGTCGTGAAGTGTGATGATTCGAAGCGATGCATTTCAGTTTGAAGTTCTTCGTTGGTCTTTCTATACACGGGTGTATAGAAGCTTCTTTGTTTATATTTAACCTAAAGGATTGTAATGTTTCTGAATTCACTATCTCTAAGAGTTATAGGATGTCGATTGCAAGTGTCTATTCGCTGTAATAATTTAAGCAGTTTGTCTTGAACATTGAATCTATCATCTTCATGGTGGAATTAATGAAGATCAGTTAACAGTATTATAAATGAAGTAAACCAGTCACTACACATATAAAGATGTATACGCTGAAAGTGTTCCACCATGCCTAACTTAGAAGTAAAGGGTGAGAATCATAGAACCCACTACGTTAATGATGTAATGCTCCTATATTGTAAAAGAAAATTACCAATATCTTCATAAGAAGCCATAAACCTCTGAAGCCTTTTTCAACCAATCCTTTTGTTCCGAAGTTTTAAGAAAAAAACACGTGAACCAAAGTGTAAATATCAGATTAATCAAAGGGACAAAAATTAATAAAGTATTCAGATGTTGAAAGGTCTTGAAATAGCCAATGCCGTTGTAAGCATATATAAACCGTTGTATTTTGTATGTTTTCGCGTTGATAAACACCCTCGTCATTAATACTATTATTTGTCCCTTGAGTTCCCAGTGGGACATAGGGCTTCACTAGCACGTCGCCATTTCACTTTGTTCTCTTCACTCTTCTCTTTTAACCTGGCTCCACAACTGCCCAGAAACTTTCGTTTCTTCCTCACATGATCTCTTCTATATCACCCTCGCCTCGGACACCCAACTCATCGTTTCCCTTTTCAGTTCCACTCGACGACCTGACCTGGTGTGTGGTGTCCCCAAACGGTCTTCTCAGTGTATGTACAATCCAATCGATCTCGACTTCCTTCTGCCGACTTGTTAGGCGATAGGTTGTTGGTTGGTTGGTTGGTTGGTTTATTGCCAGGCGAGAGCGAGTTCTTTGTTGCTTATTCTTATTATTATGGACATCTATCTGATTTTGAGTATGGAGTAAGCGTAGACAGCAGCTGTTGATGTATGTCTGTGGTTGGTTGGAAATGGTTTTCGTGACGCGCCAAGTCTGTGAAGCATATAGAAGTGAAGTAGTGACTTTACTGACTTGTTGTTGAAAATCCGTATGTTGTTGACGCTTTATGTTGAGTTGTGTGGAGTATGTCTGCTGACTGATTTCAGATTGATGCAGGAAGGTGTGTGTTGGTGTTTTTTGGATGGTGACTGGCTTAGACGTCGTCATGTGTTCCTGTTCTTGTGCTGCCTGTAGTTGGAAGGATGCTGTGTAGGTAGGTAGGTAGGTAGGTAGATAGGTAGGTACGTGGGTGGGTGGTTAGGTGAAAGAGATAACTTTGTTTAGGTTTCTCCCATTGATGTTGATTGGTGCTTTTTGTTCTCATTGTTTGTTGGGTATCTTGATCACCTGTGTTTTGTCCACGTTCACTTGACGGAAGTCCCGTCTTCTGCGCACTAGTTGCTCTGCCTACTTTGTTAGTTTTATTTTGCAGATCTTCGAGTTTGTGTGACATTAGACGTAAATCATCATGGGCGAAATCCAAATGTTCTAGTTTGTTTTCATCGGTGCAGCCAGCGTATGCACCTCTTCTCACTCCTCACAGTTGGTTGCATCATGCAGTCCCACACCTTCGTCATATTATCACCTTTTCCATGTATCGAGAAACTGGGCGAAGAGCAAGCGGTGGGATCTGGAGGTTGGTGTTCAAGCGTTCGTGGATGTATACAACAACAAAAAACTCCAATCGTCATCAGCGGGAGGAACTTAAAGGAAGTAGTCTCCTTCACCTATCTACGAAGCACTGTTTCAACTACACGCGACACAGGCACATACGAGGACGTCAAAGTCAGGATCGGAAAAGCAAGACAGGCTTTCATTAACCTGAAACCAGTGTGGAGATCTGCTGCACTCAACACAAACGTCAGTCAAGTCAGTGCTTCTGTATGGCTCAGAGACTTGAAGCGTTACGAAAGGGATTTCCAACAAACTACAGACATTCATCAACAACTGCCTACGCTGGCTCGTTACTGAGGCTCAGATGGATTGCCAGAGAGAATAAGCAACAAGCAACTCTGGCTGGCTGGCTGGCTGGCTGGCTGGCTGGCTGGCTGGCTGGCTGGCTGGCTGGCAACGAACCAACGAAACAAGAACCTATCACTCAACAACAATGTAGGAGGAAATGGAGATGGATTAGGCATACACTGAGAAGGCCGACTGGAGACATTACGCACCATTCACTCGAGTGGAACCTAGATGGGAAACGATGAGTTGGGTGTCCGAGGCGAGGGTGACATGGAGGAGATCGTGCGAGGAGGTAATGAGAGTTTGTGGGCTGTCGTGGAGCCAGGTTCAAAAGTGTACGGAGAACAGAGTGCACTGGAGACGTGCTAGTGTTCCACTAGGAACCCAAGGGACAAATAATAATAGTAATATCAGTTAGGCTATACAAGACTATAACTAGTGGCAATGAGGTTATGTAGGGAGGTATTGACTGTGTTTGACAAGGGTCACCGAGATCATAGGAGTTAAAGGTCTTGATACTCTTGATTTATTTGTTAAGTCTTAAGATTTTATATAAATTATCGCACATGTAAAGTACTCAAATGAAGAATCCTATTGAAATGGAATAAATTCATGAAATTTTGCCTTTTTCTGATTTTTCTTTCGTTTTATTCATAAAGTAGTCGTTATAAATGCGCTGTTATTTCCCTTATTCCTCCCCTATTATCTCCTTGATCAAATAGTGTAAGCCACTGTATCTGTGTTTGGTTTCGTAGACACAGAAACTAACTGAAGATAACTCCTATGGCGCGACAGAGGTTGTTTATTAGAAAGTTGCAATCTATATTGATGAGAACATGTAATCTCACCTTAGCGCATATTCTCCGTGTTTGACACAACCCAATGTATAGTGTCCTTGGCGCCTGTATTCTTCTCTCTACTCCATATTGTTGTCCCCCCCCTTCTCGAATATTTATCAGTCGATTGTTATTATTTCTTGTATTTCCTAATGTCTCCTGATATATACTACTGATATATGTCCTTATAAGTAGCTCCTACCATACTATTTGTTATGATAACAAACAAGATATATATATATATATATATATATATATATATATATATATATATATATTGTAGAAATTATTATTGACTTTCTAAGTTCTAATTTAGGATTTCGCTTTTTGTAGTGATATTCCTTTTGTGGTTTTTCCATATTTTATGGTTGTATAGGTTCCTGATTTATTCGGAAATCTTGATCAAGATTATCCTGGTTTAAATTCACTCAGTATTTCATCATCTGCAATACAACATGTATGGGCATCATGTGATCATCGATGTATTCTTTGGTGAGTTATTATTACTTTTTTTTGTTGGTATGAATAATGTTCAATTGTACTCGCTACATATGCATTATCATCATTATGATTTCAGTAAAGTTGTAGAATTGTAAGGTTAAGCTATTGTCTGGACAAAATATTAATAGGTAAAGTGGTAGGATTGTGACTCATAGGTTTAAACATTTAAATATCAACCAGTGAATCATATATTCTAATACTCTTCAGGTCACCGATACTTTGGTAGTCAATTAGTAAAGCCAAATATTGGACAGACATTAGGTTGAAGACTGTAGTCTATTGTACAAACCTGTAAATGTTTGTTTTACTACATTATTCTAGTTGTTACACTGTATTTTATTGTTCATTAAGAAGATCGAACGAAATAACATCATAAGTACTATCCGATTCAATTCCCTACTATGGGTAAGATAGTTCAGATTTAAATTTTTCCTCTGAAATGCTGTCTCATTCAGAAAATTTTTTATTATGAGGCAAGAAATCATCATTGCACCTAAATAGAAGAAAAATATAATTATGTAGATATACTTATTTCTAACAGTTTCACGTGTATTATTATTGTTATTTGTCCCTTGGGTTCCTAGTGGAACACTAGCACGTCTCCAGTGCACTCTGTTCTCCGTACACTTTTGAACCTGGCTCCACGACAGCCCACAAACTCTCATTACCTCCTCGAACGATCTCCTCCATGTCACCCTCGCCTCGGACGCCCAACTCATCGTTTCCCATCTGAGTTCCACTCGAGTGCCTGGTGCGTAATGTCTCCAGTCAGCCTTCTCAGTGTATGCCTAATCCATCTCCATTTCCTTCTACATTTTTGTTGAGTGATAGGTTCTTGCTTCGTTGGTTCGTTGCCAGCCAGCTAGACAGCCAAAGTTGCTTGTTGTTTATTCTTTCTGGCAATCCATCTGAGCCTCAGTAACGAGCCAGCGTAGGCAGTTGTTGATGAATGTCTGTAGTTTGTTGGAAATCCCTTTCGTAACGCTTCAAGTCTCTGAGCCATACAGAAACACTGACTTGACTGACGTTTGTTTTGAGTGCAGCAGATCTCCACACTGGTTTCAGGCTAATGAAAGCCTGTCTTGCTTTTGCGATCCTGACTTTGACGTCCTCGTATGTGCCTGTGTCGCGTGTAGTTGAAACAGTGCTTCGTAGATAGGTGAAGGAGACTACTTCCTTTAAGTTCCTCCCGCTGATGGTGATTGGAGTTTGTTGTCTTGTTGTTAGTTGGGTATCTTCATCATCTCTGTCTTCTCCACGTTCACTTGAAGTCCCGTCTTCGCTGCCTTGCCATGCCTCCTCTGTCAACTTGTCGGGTTTTGCTTGTAGATCTTCGAGTTTGTGTGACATTAGACACAAGTCATCGGCGAAATCTAAATCTTATAGGTTGTTTTCCGGGGTCTAGCGTATGCCCCTCTTCTCGCTCCCCACTGTTTTCTACATGATCCAGTCTACCACAATCAGGAATATCATGGGTGATAGTAGAAGGCAGCCTTGTCTTACTCCTGTCTTCACTTCGAAAGCATCACTGAGCTTCCCATTGTGAATTACTTGGCATATGACGTCTTCATATAGTTGCTGAATGAGATTGATAGAGGTTTGTGGTATTCTGCAGTATTGAAACAGCTGCTAAATTACTTGTTGGTCGACGCTGTTGAAGGAAGGTCTTCTCAAAGTGGATGAATTTGAGGTGGAGGGTTGACTGCCATTCTGTGTTCTGTTCTATGGTGATGCGCAGCGCCGCGTTGCAATTTGGTCTTCACATGATTTGTACTTGCTGAACTCAGCCTGTTCTAGTCGTAATTTTGAATCCAGAGTATCTTGCTTGGGGTGGACAGAAGAGGAACGTGATTCCACTCCAGTTCTTGCAAAGGTTTAGGTCGTCCTTCTTCTTCCACCTGTACTCTAAGTTTATTGTTGTTACCGTCTACTTCGACGTACCATTTCAGGGGAAGTTGGAAGAGAGTTCATGGTGGCCAGACCAAGTTGTGGCATAAGTTCATAAATCCCTTGACTGTTGATCCGAGCCTTGTGGGTATGTGTAGACCACCTCCTTGGTTGGGGTCCCGGAGACGAAAGGAACCAATGGTTGTAAACTCTTGATGATATGGTTGAAAATTAGTCACAGTGGGTCAGATGTATTTACTCTTGGACGTCTTCTAAAGCTTGAATATTTGCACTCTGTGTAATCTTCAAATTGTTTACTCGTTTACATAACTTTATCTACTACTGTAAACTGTGGCAACTTGTGGTGATACCTATGTGTTTGGGACTTCTACGTTGATTTTGTCAGTGTCAGTTAGTCAGAGATGCCAAAAGTGACCGATCCATTTGGTTCAAGGCAAACTACAAGCTATCAAACCAAAGTATAACTGTCACTTAAGGAGTGACTATCGTAACTCAGCTTTGTGGATAACTCTGTGGTGTTTGAAGCGATGGGCACTGTTTTTGAGCCTCAGTGGAAGGTGGGTACATCCTACTGACAATTTCTGAATAGAACAACTTATACGTCATAAATTCCACTTAAGTGTGCTGTCCATCATCAGTATATACGAGTAATTGAAAATGAAGCTGTGGTTTATTCACTTAAGCACTCGTCTTCCAGTCGAAGAGCCCAGGATTCGAGTTCATCTTGACCTGCCGAGGTTTAAACACCAATGTATTATCTATCACTAGCCCACATACATTAGGTGTGGCTCATTGCCTACTATATAAAAGCGCACAAAATTCATGATTATCAGAATTCATCATAATAATTTGATAGACCAATCTGTCTATATGAAAAAGACACTAAGCAATCAGATTTGGACTAGACCCATCAACTGAATTGGATTCAGGTAGAGTTGTCAATTTTTATTATCTATTGAAGTTGAATCATATTCCGTTTGAAATCCTATTGGCAACAGTAGGACAGTTAGGACAAATGCCGGAAAGCTGGTAACCCAAGTGCACAGGAAGCCAACACATACTCATCAAATCCTCAACTACAGTAGCAACAACCCAACAACTCACAAAATTAGTTGCCTGCAAATCTTATTCAAAAAGCGATAACATACTGTAGCACAACAGCTTCACGGAGAAACAAAGAAAACTACTTGATGTCCATCCTAAAGAGGAACGGCTACCCACGAAACTTTATCAGCAGATGCCTATCCCGTACATCAACTACAAAGTCATCCACAGAAATCAATAAACGCATCATCCTACCATACATAAAGAATACATCGGATATCACCACAAGATTACTGAGGCAAACCACTTGGAATTGGTGTGGCTCATAAACCAACAAATTCCCTCCAATCCCTATTATGCACACCAGAGGATGCAAGTCAAAGAAGACAAACCGAATATCATTTACAAAATCAACTGGAATAACTGAAGTCAACACTGCTCATTGAACAAAGTGGTCACCCACCTTTGTCTTCGTCTACATGAACGCCAATTAGCTATTAAACGTCACGACATTTCCATTACTCATGTCAATGCATGTGTATAATTATAGACATGAATTGTAGACATTTTAGATGGAGAGAGGAAACACAAAGAATATCAGAGAATTTCTAGAAGCTTGACATTCATGTCAGTCAGCAATCAATAGATGTATAGACATACACCCAATCTATCAACCAATGAGAAAAGTGGTAGACGACAGAAAGGTCAGGGGTCAAGCAGAGTGACAGCCATCAGGAGAATCTATACAGTCAAAGGAAACAACCAATTACAAATCAGTTCGCCAGGGTGAGCTACTAAATCACTAGTGGAGGGATATTGACAGCTAACTTCATTAGTGAAGTTAGTGCTAATGATATCGTCTAGACAGTCGATAAAAGCTGTATGATTATAGAACTTTGCTCAGGATAGACATACTTCCAGCTTAGGAACGTTCACATCTTGGGGTAAAAGTATTGACTACGGCATGAATATGGTAGATGATAAGAAATCGTTACTTTTCTTACAACTATTGTTCTTCATGTAAATTAATTGTAAATTTTGATTTATATGATTTCTTGTATAGGATGTATTTTTACTTGTGTAATCCCGGCGTAGTATATTACAACAAATAACAAAATAAACAAATATTTTGTATTATTCCTCAACTTTTCTATCTTGCTAGGAAGATAGTTTTCAAGAGTATGAATCTGACACTAAGTTTTCAGGTTAATATTCAAGTTTTGGTACACAAAGTGGTGACCTTTACAATCATCCAATTACATAGTGATTTCTACTTATATTCTTTTGAGTTCCATTAAGTTTATATAAACAACAGGTTATGACATGATCATATTGTACAGATATTAAATATGATAGATCGATTTGTCCGTTATCCTAATCACTATTCAGTTTTTTTTAAGGTGGTGATAGATTTAGTGTAGTTATTTATTGTTCTCATGAGCACTATTCACTCGATCATATCACACTATACTGTTCCCATATTCATCCTTTCAATCGACCATTTATCTGTCATCTCCCCTGTATAATCAATAACTAATGCTTAAAAACACGGGGAAAATAATTTCCTTCGAAGATCATTCAATTCCTTGACAGAAATGCGATGATTTTGTTGTTAAGGCAATGAAAAAGTATAATGGTTAACATGACTACTTGGAGCTATGAGAATACTTGATAGAAGATAATCAGTATATAAATGCCTTGACGAAGAAAGAACTCGATAAAGATTGAAAAACTATTCATACAACAATGACAAACCCTGTTATTAGCTGAGATTTTCAAGCGTACTTCTTATCATCTTACCTCCAGCCTTATATCATTGCAAATGAATAAAGTGAGCTACGAGTAAATGTTAGAATTCTAACAGAAGGAAGAAGATTGATGTGATGAAACAAATGAATTTGAACAGGTTCAGTTTTGGACCGTTACTGATATTCCCGGACATATTCAGCCTTTTTAAAAAAAAACGTTAACTGGATTGGCCTGAACAACTGCGGCATAGAAAGTATAAAAGTATCACAAGCATTTTCAAACACTTTGGCACTTCAGTTGTTGACCTTTACTCTTTCCAACATAACTATGCATAGGTAACACTCCAATGATGGTATACTAATCGCCTGTATATTGGCATAGACGTGACACTCACACTTGAATCATTTCACAGTCGTACTTCGTTGGTCTCTTCATACTGCAGAGCACACACCAGCGAACTGCTTTTTCTTCAGTAATCGCCCTCCATCAGTCACTCATGATCCAATAAACATACATTGCTACTCACCAACTTATGACCAGATGGGATATCTACCTTCATTATCACCGTTAGGCGTCGCTGCTGAAAGAATGTAAAGACACAATAGCCATTGCCTTCAATACTATCTTATTTAGGGTTTCAGATAGAAATATGCATTACTATGCAATCAGATGAACTCCTTATACAACACTCACTGGTGGTGATTATTTCTCCTGCCTAACAGCGAATGACATAATTATCATTTGATGAAGATACAATCATCAACAACAATGTTTACAACGAATTATCTTGGAGTGGACATTATACATATTACTATCGTTTCAATCGCCTAAGGAGAAATAGAATTTTCTAAAGCATCTGTTTTGAAGAAGAAGAAAGGGATAAACTCTAAGGCTACTGATGAAAGTCCAAAATTCTCTTGGAAACTTGTAGTTGGGGATAATATCCAGATTCTTTCACTGAAAGAAATAGATAAGAAGAATGGGTAAAATTGGTTACATTTATCAGTCTAAAGCCAATAATTGACATTTTTTTTGCTGTGTCAAAGTATGTTGACGATAACTTTGTAACTTACTATGATGATTGTTATTTAAACTATGTTTTACAAGTATTTAACACTTACCACATCTCTATTGAATTCATACGTGAAGTAGAAAGGAACTAAAGATTTTACTTTCGGATCCAGAACTCCGCAGATCAGATGATGGGATATTGAAGAGGGTCTATCTACAGGAAACCTGTGTGGAATGGTTAGCTGATGTATTTTCTAAAGTTAAGTATCTGTCCAAATGCATCTCCGAACACTATCATGGATGGCTATCCAAAGGATAGTGCAAAGATGTCAACAGCTTCATTCTTGAGCATTTGTTTGTATCTGATCACTGTGCTTCATGAGAGTCTTCTTTCAAAGTTATTTATAACAGATGGGTATCTATAAGTCGAAAAAAAAAACACTTATCATGTCCCTTGCTCACGGTATTCGAAGAATCTGAAGTACTAATAGCTTAGAAGAAGAACTCATATTTTTCAAAAGAGTTCTGGTAGAAAATGAAGGTCCAGTACAATTTTTGGACATTAATATAAGACTCGAACCATAAAGAGATACCTATTTCAGTTCCATGTAATCTCATCTTCAAAAGCAACCTCACTGCTAATATCTTGAAAAGAAGAATTTTAAACTCTCTAAAGAAAACTTTGTTCATTTCAGCGTTGAGGATAGTATTCTAAAGTCATTCAATGTTTTATGATAACTCAAAGAAAATAAGCTTTTGCTTCTAATCACTTCTAAAGAATAATCCCTCCATCTGGTTGGAAAGAGGTGAAAGTGGATCACAATCAGGACCGGAATAATTGAATCAAATAACACTAGTCACTGCATTACAACTGATTCAATGTTCAATATCATCGATAATGATGAAAAGAAACTTAACTAAATTGGTGTACATCTGTCTTTTTTTTGTACTTTTGCTATAAGTATGGAAAAACTGGAATTATGTGTACAAAAGAAACTTGTTGAACATTTATTACTACCTTGGGATCTCTATCTCTTTCTTTTTATATTCACAGTTTTATTGTATTTTTCATGATTTATTTTAATAACTCAATATACAGGGTCGAACTGCTCGACCTTTGTTGACAGATGGGCTCCTATGCGGATACCTCAATCCTGCTGGATATTCATAATGTTATGTTGATCTTGATGACATCCGTTGCACAAGAAAGAGGTGGCTATCGTGTTCCAGTGGTTTAATGGACAACACTCTGGCGTTAGAAACAAAGGGTTACTGGGTTCAAGCCTCATTGGGAACAACATCACTTCGCAGTCTGGTGCAGGTATATCCAACTGACGAGTCCCAAGTAGGACGAAATGCGTATCATCATGGATCCCTCTACTAGTTACCAAGATCAATATAACTTAATATCGTCTTCATTTCTTTTACATGGTACTTCTGATCGTGCTTTATCTTGAAAATTATTTTTTACATATTATACAACTTTGATTTCTATGCTCTTTTGTGGCTAATTTTCATCTTGTATCAATCACGCTAGTAATTCTTTGATCTTTGTTACTAGGCTAAATTGAATAATTCTTGTAATTATCTAATATAGTGAAACGAAGAAGTGTAAGTTGTGATTGTACAACTATGGCGAATGAAGTTATCGAAAAGGGATATCTCCTCTGAACATCTTGTATGCTGATTGATTTATTATATATATATTTTTAATTTATCCTTTGGGTTCCTAGTGGAACATAGCGATTCAGTAGTACGTCTCTATTTCACTATCTTCTCTAAAGTCTTTTTAATCTGGGTTCCAGTTGAAGGCATGAGCTGGTGCGTGATGTCCCTAGTCGACCTTCTCAGTGTATGTACATTCTAGTCGATCGCGACTTCCTTCGGCATATTTGTTTGGTGATAGGTTGTTGGTTGGTTGGTTTATTGCCAGGCGAGAGCGAGTTACTTGTTGCTTATTCTTATTATTATGGACATCTATGTGATCTTCAGTATGGAGTAAGCGTAGACAGCAGCTGTTGATGTATGTCTGCAGTTGGTTGGAAATGGTTTTCGTGACGCGCCAAGTCTGTGAAGCATATCGAAGTGAAGTAGTGACTTTACTGACTTGTTGTTGAAAATCCGTATGTTGTTGATGCTTTATGTTGAGTTGTGTGGAGTATGTCTGCTGACTGATTTCAGATTGATGCAGGAAGGTGTGTGTTGGTGTTTTTTGGATGGTGACTGGCTTAGACGTTGTCATGTGTTCCTGTTCTTGTGCTGCCTGTAGTTGAAAGGATGCTGCGTAAGTAGGTGGGTGCAGCCAGCGTATTTCCATCGTCTCGCTCCTCACTGTTTACTGCTAATATCTATTGAACTAGCAAACTATGTGAGGTTATTTACTATATACAGAGTATGATTTAAATTTGTTACCTGTTATAATTGCCTATTTTGTGCTTAACTTATTCCACTTATCCTGGTATCTTATACATAAGCGTATATGTATGTGTTTTTGTAAGTCTAGACCTTTGTTTTTCTTCACCAGAGATTCTCATTTAGATTTCTACCTCTTCTCGACTCTTTCTTTCTTCCTCCGTTCAATAGGTGTTTACAATTAATGTTGGTATTGAACAAGTGTTTACTTGAACATCAATCTGTAAGTTTACATTGTGTTTTCTCTTAATTTATTTATTATTTTAAGTTTTGCCTTCTTAAAGAAAAGTTCTAATTCTTTAGCGTTACTTTCAGTTACTGTTGCAAGTGTAGGTGGGATAGCTTATAGAACAAAGCGTAGGTCTCGTCGAAGACTGTTGAATGTCTGGCCTAATCTTAAGCAACTATACATTATTATTATTTGTCCCTTGGGTTCCTAGTGGATCATAGGGCTTCAGTAGCACGTCGCCATTCGACTCTGTTCTCTTCACTCTTCTCTTTTAACCTGGCTCCACAACTGCCCAGAAACTTTCGTTTCTTCCTTACATGATCTCTTCCATGTCACCCTCGCCTCGTGACACCCAACTCGTCGTTTCCCCTTTGGGTGCCATTCGAGAGCATGACCCAGTGTATGTCCAATGCAATCAATCTCGACTTTCATCCGACTATTTGTTGGGCTATAGGTTGTTGGTTGTTCGGTTGGTTCTTTGTCAAACTAGAGTTCCTTGTTCCTTATTCGTATTTTTCTGGACATCTGATCTGATCTTCAGTATGGAGTGAGCGTAGACAGCAGCTGTTGATGTTGTCTGCAGTTGATTGGGAAATCTTTTCACAATGCGCCAAGTCTGTGAAGCATATAGAAGTGAAGTAGTGACTTGACTGACTTAGTGTTGAAAATCCGTATGTTGTTGATGCTTTATGTTGAGTTGTGTGGAGTATGTCTGCACATGATTTCAGATTGATGCAGGAAGGTATGTGTTGGTGTCTTTCGGATTGTGACTGGCTTAGACGTTGTCATGTGTTCCTGTTCCTGTGCTGTCTGTAGTTGAAAGGAGGCTGTGTAGGTAGTTAGGTGGGTGGTTAGGTGAAAGAGACAACTTTGTTTAGACTTCTCCGATTGATGGTGCTTGTTGTTGTTGTTGGTTGGGTATCTTGATCTTGTGTTTCTTCTCCATGTTCACTTGAAGGAAGTCCCATTTTCGCTACTCTGTGTCTTCTGCCAACTTTGTTAGTTTTAGTTTGTAGATCTTTGAGTTTGTGTGACATAAGACAGGTATAAATCATCGGGCAAATGCAAACCTTCTTAATTCTTTCCATCTGTGCAGCCAGCTCTTCATAGTTCGTTGTCTGGCCTAATCTTAAGGAGCTGTGTATATGATAAATTTCTGTTTCTTTGTTTACTTTTCTTTTTCGTTGATTTTATTGATTCTTTCAATATCTCTCTGAATCGGCATAGGTAGTAATTTACAATGCGCATTCTACAGTTAGTTGGATTGTGTCTGATGAGGGTTCTGTATAGTCACACCAAGACGTGTCACCAGTTCATGAACTCCCTGACTGTTGTTATGAGTCGTATGGGTAGATGTAGACTACTAGCTGTCTGACGGTGCTCCTGGAGATGTAAGGAATCAGTGGTTGGTGACTGACTCTTGGCGACGTGGCTGAAAATCGGTCACAACAGCTTAAATATATTAACTCCTTGACATCTTCGAAAGCTTGATTATTTGCACTAACCGTTATCTCTCACACAACTTTGTGTACTTTGGTATGAGTCTTTTTCTATCCACCTGTTATTTGTATACTACTTTAAAGTGTAGCATATTTTGTTTATCCATTTCTTTAAGCCTATCCTAATGTTTAATTTCACTGTTTTGCCTCATCAACCTGGTAACTATCAAAGTGAACAGTTAGTTGACTAATGACAACGATCTGGGTATTAGTGCTATTACTTGTAATTACACCGTCGTTGATTGGACCTAATTGATCAATCTCAATTGACATACAGCCTTCTTTGCGGATGCCTAGATATTGCCTGTGTAATACAAGCAGTAACACTATAAAAAAAGAAGTGACTATCTTGGCTCGGTGGTCTGGTAGATAAACGCTCTGGAGTTTGAATCGGTCGGTCCCGAGTTCGAATCCCGGTGGGAACAACACTCACTGGGAGGCTGGTACATCCATTCAGCTGATGAGTCCCAAATAGGATGAAACGCGCGTCATGCTGTATTCCACTGCTAACGACTCTCCATCATTACTATATGATGTAGATATTACTTTGTTATGTTGACACAATCATGAACATTCTATCTAACTTTATCATTTGAGTGAATGTAGTAGGTTACCTATGAAATCCAACGTAATATAGCAGTTGGACACATTTCAATGTGTTAGGTGTTAAGCTACAGTTGTTGAATACTTCTTCACCAACCTAACACTTCTTCATTGAAAAGCTAAATGGAATATATTCAGTGTCCTATTTTTAGTCAATATTTAGTGTTAAACTAATTCTCTGTACGAAAAAACACAACAACAAAGTTTTAATTCATTTCATTCACATGCCTATTGTTTGTTTGACTAAGCTATTGATCGGTCAAGTTTTCCAATCTTTTGAAATCAATCAATCAGCAAGAGTTTTATTCTGTGGACGGTGGTTAGAAGTAATCATATTATTATTTAGTTCATCAGGTTAACATCTTTCGGGGTCTTATATTTAACCTTATGTGTGTGTGTGTTTAGAGGTAGACTATAACAATAGGTGTCTAGTTTCTCTTATCTTTCCTTAGTTCACTTCTGATTTAAGTTCCTAATGAAGCTCATATTCCAGTAGAAAATCATGTCTACTTCTTGAGATGATTTGAACGGCAAAGTGTTGTAAAACAGTGCAAAGGTTCAAACTGTCATACTTCATAACTTCGGAGAATATGAAAGAGAAGAGAAATAGTATGATATTAGAATAAACAGAAAAGAAAACATATAAGTGGAAAAAGAAAAAGTAAATATAGTTTGCGAAAATTCCCATTTAGATATTCAGTAAAAACAAACAATGTGAGCGAAGAAATATTTCTTTTCAATTAGTTCCTCATCAATGAATGGCTCTACACTAATATATGTAGCATTTTCAAACGTAAAACTACATACCAATCTAGTGGTGAGAGTTGTTCAATGAAAGGTTATCAATCTCAAAGTATTAAGAAGCTGAGGTGGGTCCAGGCTGGAAAAAGGCCCGAGATGGCCAGACTAAAACATGGCACCAACGTATGAAGTCTCTGACTGTTGGTTTAAGCCATGTAGGACGATGCAGACTAGGTGGTTGGGGTCCGCAGGACAAGAGGAACCAGTGGTTGGAGACCCTAGGTGAAATGGCTCAGAACCGATGTCAGTGGCGCAGATGTATACACACATTATCCTCATCTTAACAACGTTATATCGAATCTCACCATTTTGTCACTCCTCTTTCATTTCTTCTCGTACTTTATATTTCTTTTGACTGCATTCACATATCTTCATCCTTCACCTCACTACCTTTTTACTTGATGTGCTGATATGAGGTGTGGCAACTCGGACCGTTACGCAGTAATGCCTGGTCCTATGTTGATAATGATGATGATGATGATCAAGAAGCTGATAATTGATCAGGTAATTAAGACAGTTAACTAAAGCAAAGATTAATTATCGTAGAAAGATTTCGTGAACAGGTTCTTACATAATTGATATTTTGTATAATGATAACTAAAGAGCAAAAATGAACTGTTACGTAAAATGGTAAATTGTTGACGGTAATTAGAGACAGTAGGGGGAGAGAAAGATGGTTAAGTCTGTAATAATAATAATAATAATAATAATAATAATAATAATAATAATAATGGAGCTATTAAAATATTAGTTATAGTGAATTGTGTGGTGGATGGAATGAAGAGTCTTGTTGTAATAAATGAGCTATACAGATGGCCAAGGCAAAGAAAGAGGCTGCACGAATCTCTTCTGAACACACAGACTTGGCTTGTGTAGGTGGATTCCTATGGCTTCTGCTGTATGTAAAAGACGAACTCGTAGAGGATGGGTGAAGTGAGAAGGAATGTGATAAATAATTTTAAAGGCATTATGAATGTTAACTCGGTGGCCGATTGACAAGGAAAGTGGATGGAACTATGAAAAGAAGTGTGTATCGGAAACCAACGTCAACAGGTCAATACACCCACTTCTTGAGTTTCGTCCTCTTGCAATATAAACGAAACCTCGTTAAATGTTTGGTCCATCGGGCGAGACTCATCTGTTCAGATGATACTTTTGACGAAGAGCTTCAAATTATCCACGATCTACTCAGTAGTAATGGATATCCAGAAACGTTCTTTGCTAAAAATATGAACACATCCAATATGAAAACCAGAATGCCTACAGTCTCCAAGAAACCATTGTTCCTAAGACTACAATTTCGAGGTGAAATCATCAGCGAAATTGTGACACAGCGCTTAAGAAAGGCCATAAGAAGATCATTTAATGCCGCCAAGTTATGTTGTGTTTTCTACAGCCGGCCGATGATGACCACACAAACTAAAGACAGACTCCCTGACTTCTCCTCTTCTGTGTGCATTTACCAGTTCAACTGCTCCTATGGAGCTAGTTACATTGGACGTACAGTTAGGCAAGTCCGTCGTCGAATCGCCGAGCATCATCCTTCATGGCTAAGTAAGGGGGAAACCAGATTGACACGAAGCTCAATACTCTCGCATTTGATTGAGAGTGACCACCGAGTTAACATTCATAATGCCTTTAAAATTATTTATCACATTCCTTCTCACTTCACCCATCCTCTACGAGTTCGTCTTTTACATACAGCAGAAGCCATAGGAATCCACCTACACAAGCCAAGTCTGTGTGTTCAGAAGAGATTCGTGCAGCCTCTTTCTTTGCCTTGGCCATCTGTATAGCTCATTTATTACAACAAGACTCTTCATTCCATCCACCACACAATTCACTATAACTAATATTTTAATAGCTCCATTATTATTATTATTATTATTATTATTATTATTATTACAGACTTAACCATCTTTCTCTCCCCCTACTGTCTCTAATTACCGTCAACAATTTACCATTTTACGTAACAGTTCATTTTTGCTCTTTAGTTATCATTATACAAAATATCAATTATGTAAGAACCTGTTCACGAAATCTTTCTACGATAATTAATCTTTGCTTTAGTTAACTCTCTTAATTACCTGATCAATTATCAGCTTCTTGATCATCATCATCATCATTATCAACATAGGACCAGGCATTACTGCGTAACGGTCCGAGTTGCCACACCTCATATCAGCACATCAAGTAAAAAGGTAGTGAGGTGAAGGATGAAGATATGTGAATGCAGTCAAAAGAAATATAAAGTACGAGAAGAAATGAAAGAGGAGTGACAAAATGGTGAGATTCGATATAACGTTGTTAAGATGAGGATAATGTGTGTATACATCTGCGCCACTGACATCGGTTCTGAGCCATTTCACCTAGGGTCTCCAACCACTGGTTCCTCTTGTCCTGCGGACCCCAACCACCTAGTCTGCATCGTCCTACATGGCTTAAACCAACAGTCAGAGACTTCATACGTTGGTGCCATGTTTTAGTCTGGCCATCTCGGGCCTTTTTCCAGCCTGGACCCACCTCAGCTTCTTAATACTTTGAGATTGATAACCTTTCATTGAACAACTCTCACCACTAGATTGGTATGTAGTTTTACGTTTGAAAATGCTACATATATTAGTGTAGAGCCATTCATTGATGAGGAACTAATTGAAAAGAAATATTGCTTCGCTCACATTGTTTGTTTTACTAAATATAGATTGTTAGAATTTTCAGAATTTTGTAAATCTACATCAATATTGTCGATGTCCTGACATGTCAGTGGGAATCTTTTGCCATAGGTTACTTAGTTCTCGATAACCCCAAGATAATCACAGTTCGGCTGCTCAAAGGTGGACCATAGGTACGCGATTAGAAGGTTTCGATCATATGTGTCTCCGTAGCTTTCCTCAAGTTTGATAGAACTACCGTGCGACCAATGTTGAGGTGAGGTGAAAGGTACTAGGCAAAACAGATAAGTCTGTTGGTCAAGGTGTGAACCTTAATCAACTGAGATGGGTTGGACATGTGTTTTGCATGCCGAACCATTATCTACCTTGTTGTACCATGCTAGACGAAGTTGGATTTGATTTGAAGAGTGTTCAGGGTAACCAGATCAAGATATGACATGACTGTTGTTCTGAACCTTATGAGTATATGGCAACTACTTGGCTGTGGTTGGTGAAACGAAAGGAATCAGTGGTTGATGACTTCTAGCAACATGGCTGAGAGCCAGTCACAATGGCGCAGATGTATTCACTCATTGATAGCTTCAAAAGCTCAAGTACCTGCACTAACCGTTATCTTCAGGTTGTTTATTCTGTCACAAAACTTTGTCTACTGTTATATAAGTCTTTTTCTATGCACTTGTTCTTTGTATACTATCATAATGAATTTTGGCAACTTGTGTGTAAGGCTTTACGTTGATTTTGTCTCGTCTTGCTGTTTTGTGCTTCCATCACATGCTAATACAATTGAAAACGTGTAATCTTCCCATGCTTTCCGCCGTTAACTACCGTTTCTAACAGCGTCAGGGTAGGAGAGACCAGAGACGTATACGGAACATTTACCTTGGTAATTAATGATTGAGCTATATCCATTCTACCATATAATGTTTCGAAATTCGAATCCCTAGGCACTGCAATACATGTGTAGTCCGCCAGTAGTAGGCTGTAAGTTGAGGTTATTGTGTGAACTCAGGATTTTACCAGAATCATTATAAAACGTTTGCTTATTTTATTTCATTCATTGTCATTTGGTGGTAAATTGATCCCAATAGTGCCTGACAAGCGAATGGATCATTCAATTTATGTACTTACTCATTTTGAATCCATATGATCATTTTATTACGTGAAATAACCAGTGCTACCTTTTAATATTAGACACGCTATTGATCATACGTTGTGCTATGCCGTACACAAGCGTTTTTTCCCATTTACTAATTATATTACTGTAGATGAATTAAGTAGTGTCTATCATTCGTGATGGACCAGATGAAATCCATTTGTAGAAGTATTACTCTACTGTCAAAATGAAAGTTGTCCTCATATTTGTAAACCTTATATCCATGACTATGAAGTTCTCTTGTATTGAATAAATATGATACACCTAGTAGACAAATATAAGGAGCGTTTCCATCTCAAGATTGTCTTGATAATGTAATTCATCAAATCTACTTGTTCTGACCTTCTGTTCTGATAACATTCTGAAACAATACTTTGTCATTTAACTAGATTCTATTGCATTGATATTGCAATAAGTATTCAACTCAATAAACAATTCTGAAATATAGAAGAGAATCGTGTGTATACTAATCATCAATTTTACTGACTATCAGTACTGAAGTTGTTTAATATTTAATGCTGATCGAATTTTCGATACAGTTATTAAAGCATCGCAATGTCCCTTCTTTCAAACTAGCTACTCAAAAGCATTCGGAAGGTAGATATAGGCTTAGATCGCTTACAGATTACTCCCTGTCAATGAATCCCAACAAGCTGGAGGTCCTGTTCTGCCTTCTTGATGGTCATCTTCAACTGTCCTAGAAATTAAATGTATTTATCGGCGTTAAACGAATCCACCTCTAAAACATCCTACAGCAGAAAATAATCACATGACATTTGGTAGGCTAATTGACTATTGTCCTATCATGATACTCCTGGAAGTAGGTCATTGCTATTTACAATCAGAATCGTTAGTAAACATCATGATTGGAAGCTATTCTATAAATCGTTATGTGACCGAAAAATATTTGATTAGGAGGTTGCGAAATACGAACTATCGTTATCCGCCCACAATACAATAAGGGATACTTATCGCTTGAATACTTTTCCCACACTACTTGGAAGACACACTGGGTAGGCAAGATTTATTGCTCTAGAGAAAAATGAAAACTAGCTGGTTAGTTTACTGTCTTTACAGACATTGGTTAATAATGGACCAATGAAATATCACTAATACTAGCTTTGTTCTCAAGGTTAAGGACAAATATTTACATGGAAAACATTGACCAATCGGCTGTCTGTCTATCCATCTAACACTTATGCATAAGTTATATCAGCTGGCCAATAATTTGGAATGAAAATTGATCATGGTTTCAAGTACCTTTATGGAAACTCGTGTTTATAATATTTAATTTACTAAGATATTTTGATAATTTCCACTTCAGGAAATCTTTGTTGAATAATTTTTCATCTCTATAGCTTTTATCTGTAAGTATATTCTTCTTTTTCAGTTGTCTGATTCACCTAAACTTCGTCTCAATGGGTTTCGTGATCTTCTCATAACCAAACCTTTGATGACCAATGCTTATTCCGACGGTAGAGCAAATAGCTTCGAAGAATCAATATTGAAAACTTCTCACTCAGTTGCTTCACAAATGCTTTGGATTGACAAGACGTATCAAATAAATACTGTTATGCGTTTTCATGTGGTGAGTATCCGTCTACTGGGTTCTCTCACTCAATCTCTCGTTCTCTTCATGTTCTACTTGGTTGGTCCCACTGGTCACAACTTCTGATTGCAACTTCGAGAATCATCTCTCGATGCGAGTTACCCGGTGAACACTAGGTTAACTACCCTTTTGAGGTTTGTGGGGATTTGTTTATATATTTCAAGTCAGTATTCATCATGGACTGGCATCATTTAGGGTAACAATGCATCCCTGGCGGGGTCATGAGTCCTCACTTCTGAGGAGTCCCGTATCGGGATGAAACAATCGTCCAGTGCTCCTAGATTTTCAATGTTTCCCCAATTGATGTCACTACATGATGAATACTACTTTGGAATCAATAAATCCGTACAAGCCTCAAACTGAATGACTGTACAATCCTGATTAGTGACATGCTTCGAGATGAATATCCCGAAGTTCTGGTGAGATGGTAAGACCTGTGAAATCAACCAGTCAGAAGTGAAGCCGACGCTAATTGGAAGACCTTGGTGAATAGTCGGTCTAAATCGTGAATTGACAGGAGTAGGGAACTATGGACCTCTGGGTTCTGACTCAGAGGTGCAACCGTAACATGGCCGTGAAACTTGAAGGTCTTGTGTCGAATTTCTGGGAGAGTCGTTTGCGCGTACTGCCTAGGAGTCCCACACTAGGACGAAACAGCTGTGAATTACTCTCAGGTTTCCAGTGTTTCTCCAAATGATATCAGTCTGTAATTAGATTCTATTTCAGTTGATTTATTAGATGTATTACACAGGGAAATAGTGTCGTTTACTAGGTAACGTTTCGGATACAATTTACTACCTATAATCATATTAATGGTAACTGCTACTGTTTCACTGTGTGATATTTCTAATAAACAGACTAAAATGGAATTACAATCGACCACAGTCCCCAAGTTTTACTCACATATTAGTGTAATTGTACCATACTTGAGAGATGGTGTATATAACTGTAACTCCGTCTCGCTCTCTCTCCTCCTTTATGATGTGTGTAATTGAATTTTCCATATATTAAGAATAGATGTGGAGTCAATTTTTATTTCATGGATTTGGTATTGATTCGATGAACAAGGAATTTGTTCATCAGCCTTTCCTTCCACTGAACTAGGCATTGATAACTGTAAATAATTTTACGCTTAGATATAACCGAGCTTTTCTTCAGATTTCTTATCACCTAAGAGTTTGCAAATCATGATTTAGCTGAAATTTTGCGCCCTGTTATTCATGTAAACTTTGACCTACTACTGTGACCTCGTAATCGTTGTAATGGATTTGACAAACTAAGCTTTTTGATCATAGAAAATGGCGGAAATGATTACAGCGAAGACGAAATTTTCCTTTCCCTACGAATTCATTTCTCTTACCTTTACATTCGTGAACATTTTCTGGATATGACCAAACATTCCAGAATACTTTCAGGTCAAAGGTGAAGATGAACATGGGAAAGGATATATATATATATATATATATATATATATATATATATATATATATATATATATATGACTAGGAAATAAAATGCAATGAATCATCGACAGTGACCAATCTTGTGCGATGACTACGGCAATACACAATGGCAGTTTAAAATTTTGAATTGGTCATGCTTTAGGTCCTAGAAGCTTTGGATTTCGCCCATGATGATTTATGTTTAATGTAGCACAAACTCGAAGATCTACATGCCAAAACTAACAAGTTGACTGAAGAGGCAGAGCAGCCAAGATAGGACTTCATCCAGGTGAACGTACAAAAGACACAGGTGATCAAGATACCCAACAACAACAAGCATCAATCATCATGAACAGGAGAAACCTATACAAAGTTGTCTCTTTCACCTACTCACCAAACCACCCACCTAACTACCTAACTACGCAGCATCCTTTCAACTACAGACAGCACAAGAACAGGAACACATGACGACGTCTAAGCCAGTCACCATCCAAAAAACACCAACACACACCCTCCTGCATCAATCTGAAATCAGTCAGCAGACATACTCCACACAACTCAACATAAAGCGTCAACAACATACGGATTTTCAACAACAAGTCAGTCAAGTCACTACTTCACTTCTATATGCTTCACAGACTTGGCGCGTCATGAAAACCATTTCCAACCAACTGCAGACATACATCAACAGCTGCTATCTACGCTTACTCCATACTGAAGATCACATAGATGTCCATAATAATAAGAATAAGGAACAAGTAACTCGCTCTCGCCTGGCAATAAACCAACCAACCAATAACCTATCGCCTAACAAGTCGGCAGAAGGAAATCGAGATCGATTGGATTGTACATACACTGAGAAGACCGTTTGGGGACACCACACACCAGGTCAGGTCGTCGAGTGGAACTGAAGAGGGAAACGACGAGTTGGGTGTCCGAGGCGAGGGTGATATAGAGGAGATCATGTGAGGAAGAAACGAAAGTTTCTGGGCAGTTGTGGAGCAGGTTAAGAAAGAAGAGTGAAGAGAACAGAGTGGAATGGCGACGTGCTAGTGAAGCCTTATGTTCCACTAGGAACCCAAGGGACAAATAAATAATAATTATAGTGCTTAAGGCAACGCCCCATTGTCTAATCCTAAGTGTTTTTAAATGGCTAAGTTATACTTTTTGAAGAACTTATCACACGAAATCAAATTTCTAAAGTCTACTTTTGTTGCATAACAAAGGATGCATTTCCGATCTCCCTTTGTCAGCCAAACTGGTCAGTGTTTACAAGCGCGTTTTGCGAGCTGGCTCATGGTACGCATTATGTGTACGTTTGACTAATTGGATCAGTAGGGTCTTTTGATTTACGAAGCCTGTTGGCTTTGTATGATAGCACAGTAAAACTTTGGAATTTTTCGTTAGTGTTACTGTTGTTGTTATTGTTATTATCACACCATTTATTGTCTCTATAATATTTAGGAATTTATTGATAAATGTAGGTAAGTATTCATTGAACTGTAAGGTATCCTTAACTTTTCTTTTTTTCCCTCGACTTTTCTATCCTACTAGTTAACTTTTCCTCGCTGTTACGTAGGTATCCTAGTACCGACTTTAGTAACTAATTCGGTTTCTCTGTTTCAGCTGGAAAAGAAGTTTTTTCCCTATCAAATACAGAACTCCTATTGGTTACTTTATTGGTTGTCAGAAGGTGGGGGGGGGTCCTTATATTTACTGTTACTTAAACTGAAAATCAAACCTATTTTAACTGAAATATAGTGAAGTGATCTGAATGCTAAGTGCCAGTTTGAATAGGAAAGTTTTCTGTAGACTCTGTTGTCTAAACTCTCATCTTCTTTTCATTTTATTCTGCAACCTAACATCGCTAGATCCCCTTAATCATATCCTAATTCATAGGTTAGTTGAATTACTTGCTACTGAATTGATAAATATATAGTGAACCTATGTATATGCTCTGCTTTCAGTACTTTAAATATGTCATTTATGCATGTAGACCATATCTTCGAAGCAGGATTAAGTGTTTCTAGGTATTCCTAAATATGTCTGTGACGATATAGGATATCAGTCATTGTTTCACAACTAATTCTGTGAACATTCTTGCTGGACACCATTTGACGTTTACAAATCACCAAAGGCTGTGAAACACTCATGAGTGTCCGAATAATCAGCCTTCAATAGAGTGTTTTACTCGCCGGCCACCGATTTCACACATATACACAGAAAAACTTTGCCAAACGACCTCTAGATAGTGTCAAATGGCGCTTTCTGTCGCAAGAAATACAGCTGGTGTGGAGGGTTAGTAAGTGTACATGGTTTAAGGACCTGGTGGAGGGTGAAGATTTAGTCTATAATTGTTTCATCTTGTTGTAAGCATTTTTAGAATCCTCATCTTTGAGCTGTTGTTCGAATAGTCTTGTTAGTGTGTTTTTTCACACTCATTTAGGTGCACGCTCAAACGTGTGATCGACGTTCAAACAAGTGCTCTAGAAGGAGAAACGATCTTTCTGTGACCCTCTCTAGCGATATCTGATAGTAGTGTAGTCTTTCTTTGTCCACCACTGAGTTGAAGCCGGTCATTCAGACGTCAGACAATGCCTGTCTTCATGTTTGAGGTTCGTTTTGACCAGAAATAGATGATTGTCTGAGTATAGTTGCTGCAAGCAGTCGCTATTATCTGTTCTTTCGACTGTGATTTTATTCATACCGTCTGAGTGTCTTTCTGCCTGACTTTACCCACCCATTTGGGAGTTGGGATCACCTGTTACGAGAGTTAAGCCTGAACATTTGGTCCTCAGTAGGAGGCTAGACAGGTTTCGCTAGAACTCATCCTTCACTTCATCCTAACTGCCGTCAGTGAGTGTGTGAGTAGAGGGTATACGGAGACAACAAAGAATTTCATTTCTTAGTTTGGTCCTTACTGGACCGTTCACCTGAACAGCGCACAGACGATTGTCAATTGGGATCCTATTGAGCAGTACAATTTCTGCCTTAGCACCGTCCTATACTTACCCCTTGAGACTATAAGAACCAGTCAAGGAATCTCATAGTGGAACATGTGGGCCTATGTCACAAGCATAGCACATGTTCATTGCAAGAGATGTCAGAGTTTTGGCTAGAGAAGCTTGTTGTTGGATTTCGTGGAGGGTATAAATATTGTGAGCTCTAATGTGTAGTTTGCAGTTTGATTTCAGGAGACTAGGGATAATGTTTCGTGAACTGGGATCGTTTTCATGGACTATAGAGGTGGGAGAAATTAAACATGATACGGGAATATTGGCTGAGAAAACTGAGGGAAGGTTCGAAGGTATTGAAGTTGGAGGGTTGATAATGATCTGAAGGTGAGACGATCTTAGGTTATGACAGATTTATTAGGGTTATTGACATTTTCCGGTTTCTCACACTGAAATTTTACTTCTGTTTGAGGTACCTAGAGGAGTAACTGTATTAGCAGTAGTGGTGTATGACGACAGAGCTCGAGGGGCAGCTGTCTGAGGTCTCACATATTTAGCGTCATGTTTGATCAATTGCTTTACACCTTTTTTTCATACTTTCCATACTTTACTGTTTACAGCCACTTACTGGTCAGTTGGTTAAACTTGGTCCATTTTTCCAAGATGTGAAACAGTCTGTTCTCCTACTAGTCACTAATGTAAGTCGATCTTTACCATTTTCTTCAAACCTCACACAATACTAAAATTTGCGTCACAGCTATTCTAGCCCCAATTGATCTTATGTAGTCTAGTCCTATATGTTGATCGAATACCATTGGTCATTTAACAACTTATTATAAGAACTGGATAGTTGCTTGATGTTAATTTCGGACTCCTTAATTGTACAGATTTATGGCATGCCGAGGGATCTAGCCTATGACCGTCAGTTCTCATGATGAACACATCATTCAGTCATCGGGTTGTAATTTAACAGTCCTCATTTTCCAACTTTTGTCAATCAACGGTGTAGTTGACCAAAATTTAATACTTTATAGGTAAGTTTTTGTCTTCATACCCTCCAACTTGTGATTGGCCCTACAGAGGATGGTTTCTTCCTCAAAGAAAATCATTTATGAACAGTAAGCAGAAATTAAGTTGGTAGTTAGGCGAAATGAAAGCACAAGTGAAGTTATTTTTTGATTCAATTTATTGAAGGCTGTGGTAATGTCTGCGTTGGCGTGAATCAATTTAAACCAATAGTACGTAACCAAACTTGTGAGTAAGTTGGAAATCAGTCGGTGTGAGAATCTTCTAAACTGGTTCACAGAACTGAATGAACCTAGTTCTTGAAGTTGAAAGGTTTCAGTTTAGCTTAAAAAACAATCGGACTGGTTCACTTAAAAAAGATGGTTGATGAAAACTGTTGAAATTTCTCACCTGTGGTTTTTTAACGAGGTTTAGAATGAAGTGAGTCTTCTCAATAAGAACAACATCACTTACTGGGGGTACAGCTACATCCAGCTGATGAGTCCAAAGTAGAAAGAAACTCATGTCCTGGATTCCACTGCGAGCTACCAAATATACTACAATATAATGAATATCCGGGCTGGAGTATCGAGGCATCTGCATATGAGCCCATCTGTCAACAGAGGTTGAGCAGTTCCATTTAGTATCAATAAACAATGGAGTGTGTCATTCATTTATTTTGAACTGATTTGATGAATAGTGTGCCTCAAACAGATTCATTTCTGTATTTTTGAGATGTCATCACGGATTGAAATCAGTCGGGGAACCACTAAAAACCTGAGAGCACTGGACACTTCTTTCGTCCTAGCATAGGACTCCTCTGCAATAAGCACCCACCACCCGGCTAGGGCTCGAATTCAGGACCTTCAGGTTTCATAGCGAAAACGTTAGCCATTCAACCACTAACTTGGTTTTCAGTGGTTCGAAGATTCCAACTTCTGTCAGTTCACGGTATAGCGTGACGATTACCCAAGGTCCTCAGTTGACATCTTTTTCCAATCCCAGATTTTCACTAGTTCCCCAAATGATGTCAGTTCGTGATGAGATTCATTTCTCACTGGAGCTGATCTATTTTTAAAGTCAACTATATTCTGCTGATAACTAGTTGGAATTAATTGAAGTCGATTGGGTACTTAGAAATGCAGCCTACCAATACTCTTGCTTGTGTTTCTTTTCAGTTCGCTAAAAATCCATGTACAGACATTCATATATTACAGTGAACCTTGCCTAGAGCTAATAGGTTCGGCTTTCCAGGTTTCAGTCAAAATTTTTGTAGTCTTATTTTATACTGAGTGATGATTGAAGGTGAAAGGAAAGTTTGAACCACGTGCGGTGGTCACTGGCTTGAATTCGACCTCGGTTCAAATTTTCCTTGAACGTCATCATTTCCACCAATTATAATCAACTAATTCGAAACAGTATATATATCCATTTTATGCATCTACAGGCACCAGAAGATTGGCTTCATTTATGTATTAAAACAGATGATGATAATGGTAAACACTGGTGAGTTAAACGCTTATTGTTCATCATTTCGGTCTGTGTGTGTGTGTGTTGTGTGTGAGTGAATGCGTGGGTGAGAGTGAGCGAGTAAATGAGAGAATGAGGGATTGAATGAGTATATGTAGAGTTGTGCTAACCACATAGTGTATACAACAGATCGTTTGGTAAGAATGAACTACCATTAGTATAGAATAACATCTATACAATTCTTGATTATTATAGATATGAAGCCACGTTGAGTCTAAAACCAAATTGTCTTGAGATGTAGAAAATGAACAAGGAGAATTACCTATGTTGGATTGCAGAATAAAACGATGGACAGACGATGGCTTGGATACTACTGTCTACAGAAAACCAACACATTCCAACAGGTATCTAGACTTCAAATCATCCCATCCAATGTCAATTAAGGCAGGATTAGTTAAATGTCTAAATGATAGAGCTAGAAACGTGACTAGTCAGAGCAAGAACCTAAACAAGGAATTGAAACACGTAAAAGAAGCCCTAATAGTTAATAATTATCCTCCGCAGTTTATTAAGAAATTCTTACTGACACACAAAAAACAAAAAATAACAGTCACACAAGTGCAACTAATAATGACAACACGAGTAAAAAGGAGTTCACACCCTCCATTGTATTACCCTATAAGGAGGGTACCTCAGAAACTTTACGTAGAATTCCCAACAGAGTTGGAATTAGGGTAGCATTTAAATCTACAAACTCACTCAGAGATAAACTTTGTCGACTGGCTTAAGGATCCGATAAAACCAATTAAGCAAAATAATATAATCTATCAAATTCCATGTAATGACTATGAGGTCGAATATTATAGGTCAAACTAGCCGGTCTGGGTCAGCTAGAATAGTCGAAAATAGAAATTTATCTAAATATAGAATAACAGACCTAAATAAGATGGATAATCTAGAAAAAAACTCGGCTAATACAATGCATGATTAATACGCAACCACACACTTAGGTGGGATAAAGCCACTGTACTTAAGTCCAATATAATTAGGTGGAAATATAGGGAGATTGATTACTGAATCTCTGTTCATCGAGTCAACATCCAACATGTGCAACAAAAATGACTCAACAGCTTCATATACCAGAGATATGGAGAATTTTGCTACCAATAAAAGCAGCTCATCTAAGATGACGTAACTATAAAAATCAAATGTCGAAAGTGGTGTGATTACATTGATATGATTATGAGTGATGATAATTTATGCTCGAAACTTCGTCATCAAGTAAATAATACTAGGTCACTGTGTGTTATCAAATAAATCTAATATGGAATTAAATTCTACTACAATGCCCAAGTTTTACGCCTATATTAATGTATACGAAAGGGATGAGTTAATTTTTCCTTCGACTATGAATAAAAATTCCTACGAACATTCATTCTTGTTGCTCAGGTTTGGTGGCAAGTCGCCAGCCAGCCTGTTCCGGCAGTAACTTTGAATCCAGCGCATCTTTTAGTCTCTCCAGGATGATGTGGCTTAATATTTTGCTTGGGGTAGACAAGGGAGGAGCATGATTCCGCTCCAGTTATTGCAAAGACTTAGGCCGCCCTTCTTTTTGGAGTTTGAGAAGGTGGTCCTTCTTCCAGTCTGCAGGTACCTTACTTTCCTTCCTTCCAAACCTTCAGCAATAGTGGTGTGAGCATGTCCGTTGTTGCCCCTGCCTCTGTTCTCAATGCTTCTGGTCTGATTCCACGTGGTCCTACTGCTTTCCTGGATTTCAGTAACTTTATGGCGTTCAGGATTTGACTTCGATTTTTGTCGCACGGCTTGTGTTCACTGGCAATTCTGTGACTAGGCTGCTGGTGATATTTCTGGACGAGTTGCAGGTGTTGGCGGTGGCGGTCGTCGATTCAAGAGTGTTTTGAAGTGGTCAACCCATCGTTTCCCTTGTTTCTCCTCTTTAATGCTAACTTAGTTTCCTTCACTATCTTTCATTGGTTTCATCTGTGCTGTGTTGATCTCTTCTCAGATAGTAACCTGGTTATTTGATATAATGTTGTCCGGTATCTCCTACCATCAGCCTGTTCTGCTCCACTTGCCAGTGTGTCGTAGAAGTGTCTTTTGTCTTTCTATGCAGTGTTTTTCACTTCTTTGTCCAGTGTAGTGTTTTATAGTTTGTGTTCAGTTAGTCTTTTCGTTGTTCATCCCTGCACTGCACGGGGTAGAGTTGCTAGCCCTATACCCAACCTTCTCTCTTTATCCGGACCGGCTAGTAACTGGTGAACTAGTTAACTAGGCGAGGTTAATGTTCAGCGTACCTCACCATATTTCACTATACGATGACAGTCAATTTGTCGGCCACATTTTCTAGCTCGCTGTAACTACTGCTAAGAAGGATCGTCAAAGCACTGCAGAATGAGAATGTTGAATTTCTGGGTTAATTTTAAATATTTAGATCGATGTGTTTCAAGTGATCGTAAAGGGTGGAGTATATTCCTGATCACTGTATTTCTAAACGTGCTAAGGACTTTGAAGTAGGTTAGTGGGGAAAGGTTTAGTGATGAATTATGTGATCGATATCTGACTGTTAATCAGATGGCAAACTTAGATCACATATCACTTGTCAGTCAAAGAGTGATTATAGCTATTCTCATAGCAATGCTACATACAATTGAAATATTTTCTCGCAGGTGAATTACTCCCACTAGTGGTGAAACGCCAAGTCTGTTATATACATCCTGCATCTAAAGATCGTTTGTGTTGTTCCAAATCCTTTCTCCTTTGGTGTATTCCGCTGCAGACTTCGTACTCTCTATTTTGCTAACTAATCTACGTGGATTCCTGTTGCCAGTCGATTGGTTGCCGTTATAACTTCTGCTGAAGATACTTTTATACTACTTAGACACATTCTTATCAGTAGTACACAGTACAATTGTGATTTACGTTGTACAGAACTGTTTAACATTTTAAGTTATATGTTTCAGTAGAGTTACTGAAATCTACTGAAATGTTGCGAGCATGTATAAGCGATAGGTCCTAAGTGAAACGATACAGTTATTGTATTTATTCTCTCCCTTTCTATTGGATTCTCTGAAGTCACATCAAGACGTACTTGAAGGTAGTATAGAAGGGATTGTTTCAATAAAACATGCTCTAGCATAATTAAATCGTTTCTTGTAATAAAATGTTGATTTTTATTGCAATTTTAAAGCTTAATGAGTGTCTTCATTGGCAGTTCGTACGTTTGGTATGTGGTTTGGACCATCGAAGTGCAAAGTACTTTTGCAAGATTGATAGGATCTTGTGCCTGCCTTCACCGTCGGTGGTAAGCCGTTGGAAGTCCGAGAAACTTTCATGTATCCCAGTAGTTGTGCGTGTGTGTATGCATATCGAAAGCTAGAGTGGCATACGCTAATCTCGGCCACTTTTGGCTCTGTCACGACGTTAATCTGACAGTGGAACGTCGCGTTTACAACACTTCAGTGTGAGCAGTTCTGCTCTACGCCTGTGAAACCTGGCCCCTTGTCTTCCAGATGAGAATGTGCGAAGACTCTGTGTATTCGATCATCGTTGTCTCCTTCGGATTGCTTGTATCTAGGGATAACATCATGTTAGTAGTTCTGAGGTACGACAACGTGTGTTTGATCATGAATATCGTCATTCGATCTGGAAACATTGACTTCGGTGTTTTGGACATGTTTGCGCTTGTCGTCCGAACGGCTTCCATACCGTTGGTTGTTTGGTAGCCCTGGAGCCCCTAGATGGAAGAAGTGGTGAGGTGGTGTGTATAACGTGGCGCCATATGATGAAGGATAGTTGTATCACGTTAGTATCTGTTGGTGCATCACGACTCCCTGTGGAGATCATGTTGCAGCTTCCTTCTATCCTCTGCTGCTAAATATTGACGAATATTTTGTTTTGAATGCATCTCTGTAGTCCTTCTGTTCTTACTGTTTTTCTTTGTTCCTACACTTCCGTTCGCTTTTTGTCTTCATAATGGTACTATAGTGTTATATGTGACGCGTTTCTTTGTTCCCTCGTTTGTGTAATAATAATAATAATAATAATAATAATAATAATAATAATAATAATAATAATAATAATGTGTTATTTTAAGTCTATTCTGGTTGCATATATCACTGATAATTGAATCCTTGTATCTGGCTGCTTTCTTTTCTCTTGTTGATCTGCACATATGAAGTTCAGCTTATGAAGTCATGATAACAATGTTACACTTGAACGATTGTACATGTTTGTGCTTTGAAGACTAGGACCCATAGTGTGATGATAATCTCTGTTGTTAGATGGAGACGTATTCGAATTGATACCTCCCTATTTAGTAGTTATAAGTTCACTGTCATTGTATTTTACACTGATCATCTAGTACTGCGTGATTTTCAACTCTACTTCTAGTATCATCTCGACTATTGACAGTAATAATTTTAAATCACTATATCTATTTATTTACTATTTATGATAGCGATTACTTTATTCCAATTGAATCATCAACATACCTCACATGGTTACCTGATCCTCTAACACGTAGATCAATGGCTGCTGGTATGATTACACTATCAACTTTGAAAAGCTTACCTTTACTTAACCACCATTCATTGGGGTATGATTCAAAAATATATTTGGTTGTCTCAACTGGGTCAAATCCATCACGAAACAGTGTAAGTTGTATCATATACTCATTTCAAGTTATATCCATCATATTGCCTTTTTCCCAGTGTAGTGTATTGAAGTTGTCTCCTGGTTTTACCGAAGCTGTGGATCGATGTCTCGTCGGCTGATATATATATATATATATATATATATATATATATATATATATATATATATATATATATATATATCAATGCCAACTTTCTGATTGCGCGACCAAACTCACTGTATCTAATCCATGTGCAGCATTCGAGGTATCTGCATGTATAAGCCGTTGTGGCTAATAGTGTAAATCTGTGCCAAATTTATCATTGTTATTATTTTATTACTTGTCATTTGGGTTCCTAGTGGGACATAAGGCTTCACTAGCACGTCGCCATTCCACTCTGTTCTCTTCAGTCTTCTTTCTTAACCTGGCTCCACGACTGCCCAGAAACTTTCGTTTCTTCCTCACATGATCTCCTCTATATCACCCTCGCCTCGGACACCCAACTCGTCGTTTCCCTCTTCAGTTCCACTCGACGACCTGACCTGGTGTGTGGTGTCCCCAAACGGTCTTCTCAGTGTATGTACAATCCAATCGATCTCAACTTCCTTCTGCATATTTGTTAGGCGATAGGTTATTGGTTGGTTGGTTGGTTTATTGCCAGGCGAGAGCGAGTTCTTTGTTGCTTATTCTTATTATTATGGACATCTATCTGATCTTCAGTATGGAGTAAGCGTAGACAGCAGCTGTTGATGTATGTCTGCAGTTGGTTGGAAATGGTTTTCGTGACGCGCCAAGTCTGTGAAGCATATAGAAGTGAAGTAGTGACTTTACTGACTTAGTGTTGAAAATCTGTATGTTGTTGACGCTTTATGTTGAGTTGTGTGGAGTATGTCTGCTGACTGATTTCAGATTGATGCAGGAAGGTGTGTGTTGGTGTTTTTTGGATGGTGACTGGCTTAGACGTCGTCATGTGTTCCTGTTCTTGTGCTGCCTGTAGTTGAAAGGATGCTGCTTAGGTAGGTAGGTGGGTAGGTAGGTAGGTTGGTAGGTAGTTAGGTAGGTCGGTGGGTAGGGGAAAGAGATAACTTTGTATAGGTTTCTCCTGTTCATGATGATTGATGCTTGTTGTTGTTGGGTATCTGATCACCTGTGTCTTTTGTACGTTCACCTGGATGAAGTCCTATCTTGGCTGCTCTGCCTCTTCAGTTAACTTGTTAGTTTTGGTTTGTAGATCTTTGAGTTTGTGCGACCTAGCACAGACGTAAATCATCATAGGCGAACTCCAAATGTTCTAGTGTGTTTTCATCTGTGCAGCCAGCGTGTGCCCATTTTCTCGCTCCTCACAGTTTGTTGCATCATCCAGTGGAGTTGACCACAATCAGTAAGATGGTCAGTGACGGCAGGTGGGGCTTATCTTACTCCTTCCTGTCTTCATTTCAATTGCATTGCTGAGCTTTCCATTGTGAATCACTTGTCATGTAGCGTCGTCATATATCTGTTGAATGAGGTTGCATTTTTTGTTTCTGAGAAAAGACTACTGAGTATTCTATTAGTTAAACAGAAATTCTTCTCATTAGAAGACTGGTCATTTGATGATGATACTGGTTAGTCATCATGATGAGAAATCGGTTTGTTAAAACTCATATTGGAGTAGTTACTTGAAACTTTCTTGATAATAGTTTGTAAATCGCCTATAGTATAAACTTGATTTCATTACTTTACTAAGAATATTATTGTTTTATTTACAAAGATATCGTTCTACATAACTGAACTGAAGGATGCTGAACAACCACTTCCATGTTCATGCAGTAGAAAATGGGCGGTAACTACTATTTGAAAGCGAATGATTACCAACTAACTAATCCCAGACATTGCTAGGTGAGGCGAAGTTTTAGCTCACAATTCTTCGTATAAAAATTGAGTCTTTAGTGCAATAAACCTACAGCTTTAAATTAATGCCAGTTCGATATTCGTATTGACTCAAAAATGATGTTTAGTCATATATTTCAACTTGTGCTCATCAGCGGCACATTCATGGGCAGCATTAGTGATAAGAAGTCAATGAAAAACTCATGAAATCGATAGTATGCTTATTTAACTAAAGCTATTTGCATCTAATCTGTTGATGGGTTTGTTATATGAAACACGGAATCTAAGTCTCTTACATCTGACTGATTAGTGCTAACTGGTTAACATTAAACACATTGTAACATAGTCTCTAACCCTGTAGTACAGTAATCAAGCTGCAGCTACTTATGAGTCTCAAATAGGACGAAACGAGCGTCTTATATTCCACTTCTAGCCACTATTCACCATTACTGTGTGCTTAAAAAGCAGGAGACAGTATCAAGGCATTCACCCAGGAGCCTATATGCCAATAGAGACCTATCAATTTGGTTCAACCAATGACGGGATAGTACAAGCAACAATGATAAAACCAAACACTCCACATAAGAAGTGGCTATCGTGACTTGATGATGTAGTGGTTAATGCTGTGACATTTTAAGTGATCGGTTCTGATTTTGAGTCCTAGTGGGAACTGGCAGGTACATCCGGCTGATGAGTCCGAAACAGGATGAAACGTACATCAAGCTGGATTCCACTACAAGGCATTATCCATCATTATTGAAATTCATCCAATAGGAAAATAATTATTCTCCACCTTCCTCTTCTATTCGATAATGTTAAAAAGCTCTTTACCAGTGCAGTGATTAATTATTGGCGGTAAACGAGTTTCATGTTTTCTTTAAGCAGATACGCCGACAATCACAATCTATATGTCTATTGTTTACTGCTCATTACCTTCACCTATCCAATCCATGAAAATTTTAACTATCTTTTTATTTAGTATTGACCAAGTGAAATTATGCCACGTTTTATATCTACCTTCCTGACTGTTTAAATGTCGACGACAGTCCTTAATAATTGATGTGGGGTTATATTTTTTTTTACACCAATAGATATAATTGTATATTTTAATTTATGTTAATGTGATTGAATAGCACCATATATATTGATCTATTTTCGTTGCGTGACACTAGAATTATATTTTCGATTTTGTTACTATATCATTGTGTAAAATTGTTCAGTTCACTAGGTCATCTATACAATTGAATTGAATTGATTAATCAATTAATTAATTAAATCAGATCAGTCTTCATTGAATGAATTCGTATTGTTCTTTTTAGCTTTAAAGTAGACTATCTTTAACTATTTTTCAATTCATTCGTGCCGTTGATTGGTTCGTGTATATGTGTTGGCTTGAAATCGATAATACTGACCCAGATGTATTGATCCGGTCGGTCCCCATCTGGTAGCTGTAAACGGCTTGATCACTTTTATTTATTTTTTATATATGATCTTATATCTTTCTAGTTTCCTTAAATGTCATTCTATTTATATTCCATCTGTCTATATGAGCTGTTGTGAAGCTTAGCACCGTCAATCCATGGACTTTTGTGTAACGTGTATACACAAATTATTCGCTACTGATTTATGTAGAAAACATGTATAACACTGTCGTGTTCAAATAAGCTTTCTTTTCTAGATAATATAGAGTATTTATAGATCAGGTGACTGATGTCAGAGCTGACAAAATGCAGCACAATCAAAAGGTACTATCGTTCGTTTTCTGTCTTCAAGAAGATATTGCTTAGGAAAATAAACTGATTAACTTGAAACCGAAGAATCAGGACCTTATGATCCTTCATGAATGGGAACCAGAGAGAGAGAGAGACAGACAGACAGACAGACAGACAGACAGCTGAGCTACTTGTATTTTAGAGTAAGGAAATTCATTTGGATCATTTTGCAAACGAGGATCTTACTCAAGTGCTTTGTAATATATAGCTTTTATGCAGGAAGTATTTTGGATGTCATCGGAATTAATATTCACTTAAAGAAAACTATGCTGTGCTAATATTAGAATAGAAGTTGACGATAAACCGGTATACGGATGTGTTATAGCTAACTTAAAATTGGGATAACTAATGTACTCTCAGTGGGTTATGCGTTTAAACCTAGAACCACTTAATCTAGCCTGGTGATCGGGCGATATAATACACTTTTGGTGTTAGAACATGAGAGTCAGTTGCTAAGAAATTGTCGAATCAAATTTCCTTACTTGCTGACACTCATCAGAGAGGCCTATCTGAAACAATACGAGAACTGGTGTTAGCTGGGGGATAGTTTGTGAGTGCTATCTGGTCCTTTATGCCTAGCATTGGTCGACCTATGTCACTTCAGTTTTTCCGAGCGAAACGATACGATATTGTGGTGCACTGTATTTTGGTATTAGATAGTGGAAGTATCTTCAACTGTAATATAATATGTTTAACTCATAATGTAGTACATACGAACTACAGAGGAATTAGCCTGACGAACAAAGTATTTGTACTTCTAGGTCCTATAATTCTTCGACGCCTGAGTTGAGCTCGGGAAAAGCAAGCCCGAGAAAAGCACGCAGGCTTCAGACCAGTCCCATGGGTGTACCGACCAAATATTCACACTGTGACAGGTTCTGGAACAAAGGCACGCTTACTGACGCCCGACAATAGCTGTATTTCTTGACCTGAAGGCGGCATTCGACTCCATTGATCGAGAAGTCCTATGGCAATGTTTCTCACTGAAAGACGTGCCGAGTAAGCACAACACCTTATTGAAGACTCTCTACTCGAACACTTGTGGGCGTGTTGGAGCCTATGGTGAGATTTCCGGGGAGCTGTGCTCATCGAGTGGTGTCCGTCAAGGGTGCCCACTGTCTCTGTTCTTATTCAATTTTATCATAGATATTCTTATGGAGTCCTTCCTCCCAAGATGCAGAGTTTTCTGGACACTTTGAGCGGCAATTCGAGAATGTTTGGGATGAGTTTTTCACCAGCCAAATGCAAACTTTTGCTCCAGGTTTGGTCTTCAACGGTGCCACGACTAACAAAAGAGAGTGTAGTGATGGAGTGTGTCTACCACTTCATGTACCTAGGAAGTGGGATCGGCCCTGGTGGCACAGTGACGGTTGAAATC